GTTGGAGCTACTGTTTGCAAATATAATCTCCCATTTGGCTGGCTGCCTTTTTGTTTAGTTGTCAGTTTCTTTTGCTGAAGAAAGAAGGGCAGAAGGTTTTTAATTTGATAATTGTCCCATTCATTTATTTTTGCCTTTACTTCCAGTTCATAAAATGTTATCTATGACCAAAGTCCTAAGTTTGGTACCTATGTTTTCTTCTATGTAACTTATAGTTTCAGGTCTTATATTTAGATCTTCAATCCATTTTGAATTAATTTTTGTACATGGGGGCAAATGGTAATCCCGTTTCATTCATTTACATGTGGTTTTCCAGTTTTCCTAGCACCATTTCCTGAAGAGACTGTCTTTACTCCATTGGATGTTTCTGGCTCCTTTGTCAAAAATTAACTGTCCATACACATGTGGTTTTATAGCTGGGCTCTCTATTCTGTTCCATTGATCTCACTTGACAATTGATTTTACTTCCATTTCTCCTTTGGTCAAGTCTCTTTCCAACAAATGCAATTTTCATTCTCATTCTACAGAGCAAATTCATGATGGTAGTGGGAGGGGTTTTGTGCCTTCACAGTAATGGTGGAGTGATTTCATTCCTGTTTTCTTTTCTTTAAAAAAAAAAAAAAAAAATATATATATATATATATATATATATATATATATATATATATATATATATTATTGATTTTTTCAGAGAGGAAGAGAGAGGGATAGAGAGTTAGAAACATCGACGAGAGACATCGATCAGCTGCCTCTTGCACACCCACTACTGGGGATGTGCCCACAACCAAGGTACATGCCCTTGACCGGAATCAAACCTGGGACCTTTCAGTCCGCAGGCCGACGCTCTATCCACTGAGCCAAACCGGTTTCGGCTCACTCCTGTTTTCTATATGCTTACCCATCATTGCTTCAGATTGTCTGATGCCTGCTCCTGGGTTGTTGCACCGGTGTCAGATGGTACAGCTAGTCTCTAATCCTTCCCTTGAGGATGCTGCAGTGCCTGTGGAGCTCAGACATCCTTCATCTTGCCATCCTGTGGCCTCTACAGTGGGGTCCCCTTGCTCTCAACTCCCCTCTGCTGCCCACCCCCAAGTATCTGAGAATGTTATGTTTCTTGGACTTGACATGAGCTGAGAGCAGGTCAGGAATGTCTCAGCACCTTCCCCTTACCTATTTTATTCTGCTGCGATCACTTAAACTTGGGGGTGAAGGAGCACCCTAAGGGACAATCTTTTCCACTCTAACCAGGTGGAAGCAGCTCTACACCTGGACTTCTTATAATAGTTTTGAGGGCCAATAAGTTATTCTGCTTAACTTATGAGTTTTGGTTATTTTTATTTTTGTCATCTGCAATGGAGTCCTTACATGCTACATCAGGAATTTGGAATTTCTTCTGATGAGGGTATAATATATGTAGGTTTCTACTTTAAGACCGCTCTAGTGTGGAAAAGGAATGAAGGGTCAAATTAGAGGCAGAAAATCCACTGAGACTGCTGTTAGCATCCAAGTGAAACAGGGCTAACTGACTAAACTCGCGAGCCACATGCGGCTCTTTGGCCCTTGAGTGTGGCTTTTCCACAAAATACCACAGCCTGGGCGAGTCTATTTTGAAGAAGTGGCGTTAGAAGTTTAAGTTTAAAAAATTTGGCTCTCAAATTTCAATCGTTGTACTCTTGATATTTGGCTCTTATGAGTTTGCCGACCACTGGACTAAACCATAAAAACCCGAGACAGTTGGACAGACCTGGGGATTTTAAACAGACTTGCTTAGCAATTGGTGACCGATGGGATTTGGAGGGAGAATTTAAAGATGATATCCACATTTCAGATTTGAATAATTAGATGATAAAGCCTGGAGAGAGGCGGGGAGAGGCCAGTCTGGTGGCCACCTTTTAACTGAGCACCTTCGGAGGGCATCCAAGTGGAAACGCTCACTCCACAGGGGGGCTGGAGGACAGCCTGGCTCCCACGGCAAACTGATTAATCGTAAAATGTCAGTGCTCTTGCTGATAATAGTTGCTAAAATGAAAAAAGCACACCTAGTTTTAAAGTATTAATTTCAAACATCCCATAAAGCAATAGAATGCTTATGAGGACTATTTCCTATGAGGAAAAATAACTCGAAAGAGTTTAGATGACTTTCTAGAGGAGTCAAAAATATTCTAAACGTTTTATTGAGGATTTAAATGAAGAAACTGATAGACACCGAAAGGAAACCAGGTGTCCTTTCAAGACCTTTGGATTCAGTGTTCTCCGTTCTTTATTTCCTGGACACGATTGTACCACCACTGTCTGTTTTCCTGTGCCGAGAGGAAAGCAGGCGGAGTGGGAAGTACCCGGAGGAAGAGAATGAGTCATCCGAGTCCTGAGGTGAAACTAAAGATAACACATCAAAGAGAAGGAGGTTTATGTGGTTAGCAGAGTGGTTCAACGAACCAGTCACTAGCCAGTAGTGTATGTTGAATCTAAAAAAATGTTGAAGATACGTCACATGCATTTCAGGGTCAATATCCTTTACCTTGCAGTTTCTCAAAATAGGTTTTTCTCTTTGTTCCTAACCATTTTGCCACACTAATGCTCTCCCTAACATAGAAATATGTAACAATCAAGGCCTTCAGGGACTCCTCACTGCCTGCAATGAATACACCATTTCATAAACTATATTCTGCTGATTGCTCATTGCCCGTATGTTTACTAGTCGCTAAAAGAAATGTCCCGGGTAGTTACAGATGGCTGCAGTGGGCACACGTGCCAGCACGGTGCTGCCCAAGTTTAAACCCTCTGCCCACTGGTGTCAGCATCACATTGGGGTGAAGCTCAATAATGTTTTCTGGGCCGCCTAGGTGAGTCTCATGAACATTAGTTTTAATTTTTTAAAAATATATTTTATTGATTTTTCACAGAGAGGAAGAGAGAGGGATAGTAAGAAACATCGATGAGAGAGAATCATCAATCAGCTGCCTCTTGCACACACCCTACTGGGGATGTACCCACAACCAAGGTACATGCCCTTGCCTGGAATCGAACCCGGGACGTTTCTTTCCGCGGGCAGACGCTCTATCCACTGAACCACACCGGTCCCGGCATGAACGTTAGTTTTAGAAACACTGTTCCAGAGGACTGAAAGGGAGGGGGCCGACTTTCTTCTCTCTTAGTGGAAACAGCTGCCTGGCAGCTGGAATTCTGAAAGCCCCTCCAAAAGCGCTGTGTGAACGGAAGGGACAGGGCTCAGATCTGTGACTCCTAAGGACTATTAGCCACGATAGCCTACAGCCCTTTTGAAAGAAGAAGCTTCAATATTGTGAGTTGAGTATATTTAACATACACATTAATGTGGTTGTGCATAAATGTACTTAAAATAAAACTATATAGTTATATTTTATAAATACGATATATTTTTTATGTGTAAGTTTATATTATATATAGTTAATACATTATATATGTTGTTACACATATTAGAAGTATAGTATATATAATACATATTACATGTATTATATAATTATATATTATAAATATGATATATTGTCATATATTATATAGTTTATATATAATGTTATGTATAACACACACATATATAAAACAAAACTATAAATATATCTAGCAGAACTGGTGTTAAGGTTAAATTTTAATATTTAAGCAAGACTTTCAGTTTAAGTAGACATGACAGAATCTTAAATTTACAGAATTAACTAAGTATTGCATACATTCATTTTCCACATTAAAATTTTTTAATTGAAAACCTAAAAAATATGAGGTAGTTATATATTTTAACATTCTGGTAAATATTATAAATTAGCTCAGTGATTGAGCATCAGCCTATGAATCAGGAAGTTAAAGAGGGAGCTAAATTCTAAGAGAATAAATATGGGAAGGGCAACTCATGATCTCGGGGGAAAATAAAAGTGGGAAGAAAAATATTTCCAAAATGTATTTTAAAAGTTGTTAGTCATGCATCAGTGACGACAGACAGAAGGCAAGCACTCCTGGCAGCAGAAACGTGAGGAGTCTGTCTTAGCCCTGGCCCTCTTCCCTAGTCGTCGCCATGACTTTGGGGCACTTGGTGGTTATTCCAACTTTCCTAAAGCCTAAGAACTACATCACTAACAACTCTGCTTCACATGACGTGTGTCTTGGGTAAAACCCGTGGGTGTGGTGACGGATGGGGGAGAAAGGGGAGGGCTCTGACGGGAAGCACCATCCAGCAGCTAGCTTCGTGCTGGAAGGCAGTGGCTCACAGCCTGGCATGTGCTGCAGGCCCACAGGGCTGGTTAGAACACACCCTGGATTAGGGATTCAGCAGGTTTGAGAATGGGCTCAATAGTCTGAACTTCCAACCAATTCCCAGAGGTGCTGGTGTACTGGTTTGGTGCACACTATTTGAGAACCGTTATTCTAATAGAATCAGTAGTCATAAGGCCAAAGCACTAGGTAGACACTAGGAAAAACAGGATCTCCCTGGATAGTTACAAGTTTATCACCTGCTCAAAAATAAATCCTCAAGGATTATAACTGAAAAAAATCAGTAGTTGGAGAAAACTTCTTTCCAGGATAAACCCAAACCTCAATAAAATTTAGAGTGTTTGTGTGCCTATTTAAGGATTGTTGCAGAACCCAGTATTATGCGAATGGCCTGCTCAGCTAGCCTGTCTAAATTATGCTATCACCATCTTTGGACTGAATTAAAAATGAATATTGTAAATTCAAAATTTCTGCCTACAGTAAAATTTAAAATAAGAATGTCTAAATGTCTAAATATTTCTTATCCTTGTGGAAATAAGAAGATAAAAGAATCTTAACCTCAACTGTTTTTTAACCTCATTATAAACAAAGGAGTAAAAAAGAATTCATCTGGTAAATGTGTTGTTTACTAGCCACCTATTAAAAACACATTTCTATTAAAAATTTTCTCAATTTCTTCGATTGAGAGCACTTGATATCTGGCCCAAGCTGAGATTTTATTTTACAGATCAAAACGTGTGGGTAAGAATACAGGCGGGCAACTAGTGAAGGCGCTCTAATTTAGCCTGAAGAGACTTGAAGTTCCCTGTGATGGCTTGTACTGCCACTGACGGGCTCATGGACTGGAGCTCAACCAGGTAACCACAAATAGCATCCAGGCAGAGATTTGTAAATCTTCTCCTGCAAGGCAAAGACACCAGATAACTATCTGTGCATTTACAAACATTTCTCCCCTCCAACTTCTGCTAACTTTCCTGATACTCCCTCACACAAGCGCAAGGATCATGCGATTTAAGAAAATGGCAAGCAAAAAAGGAAACTCAGGGGGTAGGTGGATTACCACACAACCACCATTTTTCTTTTAAAGATGATTATAATGAAGAGGCAATAAAGGGTGATTCCATAAATATTATTTATAATCTTTTGGCCTTTTCAAACAAATATATCTTAAAATAGCCAATACTATCACAAAGTCATAATTAACTGTCCTTGGTCACTAATTCAAAACAGAAAGAAATGAGAAGTAATTCATAAATTATATTCTTTCACTTGTAGAAAAAAAAATTCAAGATAAAAGTTGAAAAATGGAAAAAAACTCTAGCCTTTCTTTAATATATGCTGGTCAGTATCAAATAGTTCTTATTAACATAAAAAGAGCCAAAATTTCCTATACTTCTTTATAATCACAATATCTTCCCCCATTCCCTCCAAATTTGTTATCCAGGTATTTATTACAAGCATTTAATAATGCAATATCTAATCAGTTACCTCTCACAATTTAAAACCTGGCAAGGATTCTGAACATATTTGGTCAATAGTACATGTAAACAATCCAAAAGGTGCAATGGCTTCTTCATTCTGTTCCAGAATGGATCCTATAGAGAAAATACACACTGTGAGTTATAAGGCAAACATGTCAATGGACTATTCAACCATTTATGTTAGTTAAAACAGCCATCAGAGTCTAGGCAAAATGAACTGATATTAAAATAGGTACTTAATACTATGTGGTTACTAAATTACTTTCTGGTTATGATGAATATTTGAACAATGTTGAAAACTGCACTGTGATGTTATTTCGAGGAATATCGGATGTCTAAGTCTGCTCTGTAGAGCATGTAAATGTCCTGTTTAGGAAGCAGAGGTAAGAGAAACAACCCATCTCTTCCCATCATGTGACATCACTTTTACTTTGAACCTATGCAGACTTAGTCTGATATTGTAAATGAGACTAAATTAGTCGCCAAAGAATCTTAGTTCTAGTTCTGGCTTTACCTGTTAACTAGCCATGTGAGTTGAGCAGATTATTTAACACTAGAGGCCCAGTACATGAAACCGAGCACTGGTAGGGTCCCCAGTGGCTGCCAGCGCATGCTTCCTTCCTCTAGCCAGGCCTCTCTCTCTTCCCCCAGCTGTCCTGGCCACCGTCGTACTCCCAGTTGAGGGGACAATTTGCACATCCCCCTTCTATTAAATATGATTTCTGCCCTTGTCAGAAAAGGGGATGACACTACTTGCTCATTTCTATCACCATTCATCGTGAGGCTTAAATGAGATACACAAATACCTTCTAAAGCATATGGACATTTTGATGATGCTATTATAAAAGACACAATCTATTTCAAAAGGCTTTATTTGGATCTTTTACCATCGGACAAAAATTACAATGTATAGTGTAATGACTGATTTTCAACCCGTGTGTCACAAAATGTTTTTGAACATGCAATACCTGACTATTTAGTCAGGAGCACTGACCTCTTTTCCCTTAGACTGTCAGTTAAAAAACACACACAAAAAACAGTCAATACAATGGCCATCTGGTGTAAATGTCCTGTCTTGATTCATAACTATATTGGTCATAAAAGTTTCATCTTATTCATGATCATGTTGCATAATAAGGTTGCATCTGATTGGTTAATTCTTGGAACCAGAAATCTTTATATACAAGTATAGGCACCTGATTTTTATTTTTATTTTTTTAAAAATATATTTTATTGATTTTGTATAGAGAGGGAGGAAGAGAGATAGAGAGTTAGAAACATCAATGAGAGAGAGTCATCGATCAGCTGCCCCTTGCACACCCCCTACTGGGGATATGCCCGCAACCAAGGTACATGCCCTTGACCGGAATTGAACCCGGGACCTTTCAGTCCCCAAGCCAATGCTCTATCCATTGAGCCAAACCGGTTTCGGCGGCACCTGATTTTTAAAAAAAAGTCACTTTGACCCCACCAGGTTGAGCACTGACTTATGAACCAGGAGGTCATGGTTCTATTCCTGGTCAGGGTACATGCCTGGGTTGCAGGCTCAATCCCTGTTGGGGGGTATAAAAGAGGCAGCCCATCAACTATTCTTATCATTGATGTTTCTATCTCTCTCTTCCTCTCTGAATTCAATAAAAACATATTAAAATTTTTTTTAGCCGAAACCGGTTTAGCTCAGTGGATGGAGAGTCAGTCTGAGGACTGAAGGGTCCCGGGTTCGATTCCAGATGGGGGCATGTACATTGGTTGTGGGCACATCCCCAGTGGGGGGTGTGCAGGAGACAGCTGGTTGATGATTCTCTCTCATCATCGTTTCTAACTCTCTATCCCTCTCCCTTCCTCTCTGTAAAAAATCAATAAAATATATTAAAAAAAAAAATTTTTTAAAGCAGTCATGTTAGAGCAAAAAAGGTAGGTAAGTACTATTATTATTATTTTTTTTGTAAATAAAAATTGTCAGATTGGCAAAAAATATTTTTTGGTGTGATGAACTTTAGAAATTAGTTTTGTGAGCCATGAGATAAAAAAGTTTGAAAATCACTGTTGAGAAAGACTTTTAAGCACCAATAGTTTGGATGAGGTTTCAGTTAATACAGTTGAAAGGGTTAGGTAGGTAGCTTAATTAGGAAGGTTTAGGGAGCGAGGAGGGTCCACGGGAGAGGAAGGCATAGATGGAGACTTGAAGACGCCAGGGTGCTTATTTTACTTGTACAAGGACAGAGAAATGCCACAGGAAGAGGGGGTCCAGGCAGATGGGGACATTTCTGGCCTGAGCAATTAAAACAACCATAAAACAAGGACAGATGGGATAGTTCCGGTCTGAGCAGCTGGGAGATCTAAGGCAACCCCAACTAGCAAGATAAGGCGGGAGGGAGGGAAGGAAGACACGACCAAATTAAGGAAAATGTCAGATTCAAACAAAGAAGTGCAGCATATATTACCTGGAGACAGAGCGACAAGAGGTGGGATTTTTTGATGATTTTTCCATGGGGGGTAAGGGGACCTCTGGGGACAGCCATGCCCAGATGGAGTTTGTATCTGTTTCCAATAAACTTCTACATTTTTATTATTATTATTTTTTTTAAAAAGCCTTTATATCTGTGAGTTTATTCTTCAAATTTTGTGAGGACAAGAACCCACGGGAAGAAAAGCCTGCACCCCAAACCCCAAGTTTCAGTTATTTTCTTTTAAAGTACACGATGATTATTAATGTAATGTGCTCAGCCTATTCTAAGAGTAAAGAATTTGTGTTATTAAGAAGTGATATTTAATTTTTATCGTGATATATGGCAAAGCCACTCTCATTATTGGTTTTAAAAGTATGAATGATGATTAATTCTGATACTAAACCAATGAAACAAATTTCTGATGTATTGGATTATGAGTGACTTATAAACATGCAATCAGAATACGCCACTGCTATGTCTAGAAAAGAGAACTTTAACTAACTATCTACTTTTATTTCATATTTTCCTTACCCGTGACTTGAACAAGTGATCATAGACTTCCAGCAGCCTGGGTAAGGGCACTCCAATTTCATTCATTGTCTGGATTACAAAGCCCACATCCCAGCTCAGAGTGCAAACTTGCTGCTCTAAGAACTGTGCAATGAAGTCTGGGGAGGGAAGAAGATCAGATCAGGATGGTTAACTCTTTCCACGGCTGTATGAAGTCTAAGTGACATATAACAAATGTGTAGGTTAAGGTGTACAATGCCATGACTGATTTGATACACACATAAGGTAAAATGTTTACTGTGATAAGGTTAGTTCAAAAGCTTTATGTTACATAATTACTTTTGCATTGTTGTAGGGTTGTTATCTCTTGATAATAAAAAGTAGGATGATCCAGGGACATGGAAGCATGGAACAGAGTGTGGAATCTCGGAGGGCAGGGTGAGTGGGCAGGAGGTAATTAACCAAGGACTGCATATGCATATATGCATGGCCCATGGACACAGACAATGGGGTGGTGAGGGCCTGGAGTGGGGGCGGAGGCAAGCTGGAGAGGGTCAATGTAGGGGAGGGGAAGAGGGAGAGAAAGGATCATATGTGATATTTTCAACAATAAAGGTTTATATATATATTTTTTTTTTAAAAAAGTAGTCCTTATTCATAAATGAGCAGTTTATAAGGGGAAATTCTTTAATTTTTTTTTCAAAATAATTTTTGTAATAAAATGACCTCATTGTGGTGATGGTTACAAAGCTCTGAATACCCTGTAACCACTGAATTAAATACTTTAAAGATATTAAGAAAAAAGTGCATTGTGTAAATTTAGGAAATACTGGCAGGTACAAGAAAATAGAGACCATACCCAACCCCACTATTGGAGAGAACCCACTGTTGACATTTCTTTAACATATTACTGCAATATCCTCGATTTAACAGCTTTTCAGAAGAAAGGCTGCTACAAGTCATTTACTTTGATCTTTTTAATGTGCTAACCCGTTTTCACTTTCTACTACCTGTCATATCCAAAGATGTAACAGTAACATTCAAATTCCTATCATAATGCCTGAGATCTGAGACCTACCAATGTGAGAACCCATGGGTAAGGGAGTCACTGAAAAGGTGACTCCCCTAGTATTTACCAAGATTTCCGATAGAATAAAAATTCTAAAAAAAGACCATCTTGTTCTAGTTTGGAGTCTCCTGGAGCCTGTTTGCCATTTGACAGAAAAAGGAAGACCTCTTCCACCCTACACTTTATGGAGCCCGAAATTAAAAATCAGAGTCAAAGGAGAAATACCCTCAAAAGGAATTGTGTAGAATGTGGCCTTTTTAGTATTAAAATTGTCAAGTTTCATATACTTACAATATATATATGTCACATATATATGTTTTTCTAGTCAATGAAATGTCAGAGCAGGTAGTACTGTACTTACAAGAAATAAGGGTATGCTTATAATGGTTTCTTTCTTATGCCTAAGAAACACTGTATCAGAGATGGTTTTCCTGGCGGGTTTCACTCAGTGATTAGAGCTGGCTCCCCCAGGCTGAAGGGTTGCGGGCTTATTTCTGAGTCAAGAGCACATACCTCAGTTGCAGATCCAATCCTGGGCCTCGGTTGGGGTGTGAGTGGGAGGCAATCAATCAATGTGTCTCTCTCACATCCATGTTTCTCTCCCTTTCTCTAAATATCAATGAAAAATATCCTCAGGTGAGGACTAAAAAAATAAATTTGATTCTATTGTTTTAAAGCTGAAGAAAATATGATACGTTGACAAATGATTCGTAATAATTATGGCCACCTACATAATGATTATATTTAGCATATTATATTTTTTAGACAACTACCCACTATTTTAAAGAAAAATATGCCCTCAATATATAATAAGAGGAGTTGAATCAATCAGAGACCAGCCATTCACAAAAACACCAGCCATTTAACAACATTATCCCCATGGTCTGTTAGCCAACACTATCTCAAGACAGATACGTGCACTTGGAAGATCAGTCGAAGGAAGTTCCAAGCCAAGCTATTCACCGACAAACCCTGCTGGTCTGCGGAGGGCTTTCTTTTAGGAGAAATAGAACTAAACTGCACAAAGATGCAACCTCACTCTAAAGACAATTATCTTTCCACGACAAGGAAGAAAACCATCAAGACCAGAAAGACGCAGGCCAGCTGCGCTCCTGCTCACCTAAGGGGAAGAAGCGAGGAGTGCTCGCGTACATCTTGCCAAGGAGGACAATCTTCAGACTCAGGGCGTGCATTCTGTCTGAAGAGCTCAGGGCCACGCTTTCATTCAGTTCTGGAAGACAGAGACATTCCTTAGAAACCAGATAACATTTAATGTGAAGTGCTCAAATCGGCTATTTTATTGTTTCAAGGAATGAAAAACCCTAGAACTGGTGTTCACAGAATATAATGAGCAGATCCTGTATTCTGCTAGGTTCTGAGATACTCTCGTCTTACCAGGGCAGGGCCCGGAGATTCTGAGGGAGTCCCAGTCGCGCTTACTAAGCAGCACAAACCGGACTCCTCCCCAGTGGATCCTGCTCTGGAGGACCACCCTCCGCCATGTCCAGGTTCCCTCACGCATGCTCTGCTGAGGCACATACAAGCTGCCTGAGCCCTGGACATCGGAGCCACTAGCAGCCTGCGTCCCTCCACCATGCCACTAAGGCACACTACGTGCGCCTGTTCGCGCTCACTTACCTTTCTCTATGATATCTTGCCAAAGTGTCTGCACCAATATAGGGTCTGAATAACCGGCACAATGAATTATTGCAAGTTTGCACTCTGCAAGTTTAAACGGGTCAGCAAATTCCCCATAAAGCTGTAGGAGAAAATGTCAACATTATACATCCAATCAGAGGTCAGGGCCCAGAAATTAATAGTGAAAAACGACTTGAAAGTTCAAAACAGCCATAGATTTTATCTGAAGTTCCCAAGATTTGAAATAAAAACATGATGCTGTAGAGCTGGTCACAGCAATGGATTAAAAGCGGTGAAGGACTGGCAAGTGCACCCACACAGATTCAGCACATGTGCATTTTTTTCCTGGCTGGAAGATGTCACGCGACTTTCCTTTTAGAATGAATGTTGTCTGGCACAAGGTTTGCAGGATCATGGGAACACTGGCCAATCTCAGGGTGCTGAAGGGCGCCAAAGCCATGTCCAAGAGTGAATGCGGGAAGAACTGCCAGAAGACAGAGAAGCTTGGGGAGATAAAGAGGCTACTTGTTCCAGGCAAGAGCGAGGCCATCGAAGACCAGCTCGAGTTTTTTCCAAGCCCCACTGACGCCGAGGGTTCTTCTCAGGCCCTGCCCCGGAAAGAGGAACTCAGCTCTCCAAGTCACACACCGCAGCAGGGACCTGCCAGGGACGTGCTGCCCAGGATGGCGTACCTCACGCTGTGGAGGCAGGCTCCTCTTCCCCCCCGCACAAAAGGCACATGCAGAAGAAACTGGGAATGTGTAGGTATTGGGCGGCTGAGGCCTGACTGCCTTAGGAATTCGCTGGGCTTTTTGTTACCTTAGTTATGTCCATTAGCTCAGAATCCAGCTGGGAAATTGCATCCTGAACAGAAGAATGATGGGAGTACTGCCTCTGTAGCGTGTCTTGTATCTGGAGTTGGATCCTAGCAACCTAGTTTGAACCGAGAAAAGGAAGTATTGGTTTCATTATGAAAAATCAATAGGAACTCAAAGAAATGACTCCCAGTATCCGAATTCGTGTGCTCACGTTAATGTGTTAATGAAGAACGCTACCATAACAGACTAGCAGCTCTGCTGAAATCTTCAACATGAGAGACTGCACAGTCCTTACTGCCCACCCACACCGGCTCCTCCCAGAACTGTAGCCAGACCAATGGCGAGGCCTCCCAGCCTCCTGCAGGGAGGGAGGTCTGAACATGAGCCTCAGTTCCCTGCGAAGGAACCCAGTGAAAATGAAGCAGAGCCAAGGCCTCTAAGAGAGGGAATGTGCTTCTGGCATGCGTTCTTCCCTCCCTCTGACTGAAGAAGAAGGAAAGCCGCAGGGAATAGTAGACAACAGAACTTGGATCCCAAAATCGAGCAGGAAGAAAGCCACCTGTCAAGTAGAAACACCCACTCTGGGTGTTTTGACTGAGAAATAGGCGTTTGTATGGGGACCATTATATACTTGGGGCCTGTCAGTTAAGGCCGTTTAGCCTACTCCACGCCATGCATCTACTTTCCAGCTTCCAGAATAAATGGTGAGTGTGATACAATCTGCTCCATGTTGGAATAGTTGGGAAAAAACCCTTTGAAGTGCCATAGAGAAAAATTTCAACTATAACAATATCCTATGACCCAAACGCTGTACCATTAAACTCTTTTACAATTTACACCTAGGTATGAAAATAAATGAAAAATAAAGGCAGGAGAAAGAAAAATCAATAAAACTGTCTGCTACAGACCCCTCACAAACTAGGGGAAGAAGGGAGGAAGATCACGTGACTATGCTGTCAGTGTGGACCAAGCTGAAGTGTCTTCCTCACTCACTTCCATTTTTTCTTCCATCTCATGAAGGAATTCCCCATCGGCAGCTGAGGAGGAGATGGCAGTGGAGCTTTTGGCACTAAGAATGGCTCGAGCAATGTACTCTAGTCGCTGTTGAAGTGAAATTTCTGTGCTGGGGGAAAAACAATGATTTTTAGTTATGTGAATTCTCAAGGTTTCAAAATATAAGCACATCAGTCTGATGTACTACTTTAGACCAAATGGACATAAAACACAATCTGAAACTTGAAAAAATTATTAGAGGATTTCTAATACAAGAGATCTAAAACCGAAGGCAACAAATATTTATGTTTATATCTGAAGAAGTAACTTCCAACTTTAAAACTTCAGTTCAGGATAGTAAAACGAGAATTCTTCTAGAATTAAATTAGGATTATCCCTATGCCCTGGCCACGAACGGAATCATGACCTGGTTCATGGATCGATGCTCAACCACACCAGCCAGGCAACAGCATTTAAAGAGCTTTTCAGTAACTTAACTCAGTGTCAGAGTACAGAAAATTAATCTGGAACTGGTAAAACATTGAACAACTTTAAGTAGTTTTTGTCCTTTTAATTAAGAGTAGTAATAATTAACTTGTTGGTAGGAAGAATACAAAGACATGCTTTAGAGAATTTAGAAGACAATTCAACAGAAAAGTCTTAGGTAAAGAGAAAACTTCAGATAAATTCAAATAAAAGCATACAAATTCTATAGATGTATAACCTGAATGAAGTTTTCCTTAAATTATGAAACTACGTGTAACTAGATGTAGCTGGGGTACCCCATTCTTCCCAGTGAGGCTGCTCGGTACCTGTGCATGTCAGCCAGCTTGGACAGCACGCGAGCAGCACTGCCGAAACTCCTGTTCTTCTCGTAGTACCTCCAGAGCAAGTCCATGTAACGAACTTTGTTTTGATCAACCTTGGCCATCCGGGATAGATGTGGCTCCAGAAACGGGGACGTGAACTGGAAATTGTATAGTAACCCAGAGACATTTTCTCACCACCCACTTGCTCTTTACGTAGTAAATATAACATTTAAAGATAACCACAAGTGTTCCCTATTTTATGGATACGTGAGCAAAATGCAACCTACAGATAAATGAGAGGGTAAATTTTCCATTATAAATTATTTTGGTTTTATCACAGTTCATGAAAGAGTTGTTATGACAGTTACTTAGGCTGATAAAAAGAATTTACTGTAATTCAATTTTAAATACATTTTTTTAAAGATTTATTTTTACTGACTTTAGAAAGGGTGATAGAAATATCAGTGATGAGAGAGAATCATTGATTGGCTGCCTCCTGCACGGCCCCTACTGGGATCAAACCTGCAACCAGGCATGTGCCCCTGACCGGAATTGAATCTGGAACTCTTAGGTCCGCAAGTTGATGCTCTATCCACTGAGCTAAACCAGCAGTGGCCAATTATAAATCTTTTAATAAACCCTGAAAACACAGCTACTAAGTTCAGATTCTGAACTAAAAGGCATCCTTGAAATGATCAAATGCCATGTGTTCATTTTACAGAATGAGAAGCACAGACTTAGGGTGTGATGTCATAGCGACTTAACAGTAGAGCTAGAAGGTCACGTCTCCTAATTCACAATCCAGTGATTTCCATCCCAAGAAAAAATCAGAGCAATGATCTGCTTTACCCACCGGGAAGTCAATAATATTGGAATAAAAAGCCATTTTTTTTTTTTTTTTTACCTGTAGCAGTTTATCTGCAAGGTCAGCTTGGATTAGCCAATTATAAAGGGCAATGCTAAAGAGCTCATCTTTGGATCGCTGACACAACTTAAGCATCTGTTCAAACTAAAATAAAGAAAGAAAAAAAATCAGTATGATCAAGGGTCTGGACACCATGAACCCTGAGCTTAACCCCAGGTAAGAAATCAAGAATCCTCCAATATTCTAAGAGTCACTGCCTTCCCACGATTGCTAGGCTGGTACTATCACACAGAAGCGCTAAACACCCGTGTTCTTAGGACGAAAATACACGCGCCCCTTACGTGGCGTCCGGCTTCTTCGTTGCTCAGCATGTTGGGGTCAGAGGACAGCACCGGGGGCCCCGGCTTCTTGGGCACGCTGGGGGACTGGGGGGCAGCCTTGCTCTGGTTCGCCAGCTCCTGCAGGGTATCGGTGATGCACTTGTAACTGTTTAATCTGGGGGAAAAAAAAAGGAAAAGGAGCAATTCCATTAATTATACAGTAACTGCCTATCTTCTTTAAGTACACACAAGAATTGAAAGACTGTTTTGGAGAATATATATGTATAGTTGGTATTAAAATGAATAGAAATCATATATTTTACTTTTTTATTGATTACAGAGAAGAAAGGAGAGGCAGAGAGAGAAACATCAACGGTGACAGAGTATCATTGATTGGCTGCCTCCTGCACGCTTCCCACTGGGGATCAGACCCGAATCCTGGGCATGTGCCCTTGACCAGAATCGAACCCAGGACCCTTCAGTCTACAGGCCAATGCTCTATCCACTGAACCAAACCGGCTAGGGCTCATAATACTTTCACAATAAGTTTGAGAAGCATTTGGTTAAACATAAAAGGGTAAAGTCATAAAAATGAATGTTTTAACAAAAGCCATGTCTTAGAATATATATTTCCTTTATGGACATACACTTTTTTCTTCTAATAGTCTCTACTAATTTGTGAACGTTTAAAAATTATCTTTTACAAAATAAAATACTTCACTCAGAATTAGAAATGGTATTGGGGAAGAAGCCAGTTTTGTTTCCAAGTAAGTTATTCTCATTTAAAATGGACATTAATAAGACTCTCAAAAAAACCCCATAGAATAAAACATTTGTAAGTTCTTAGGAATTTTTACCTAAGACAAGAAATTATACTCCCGATTCAGACCTCTGATAACAGAAGTCGTTTTAAAGTGAAGCACAGGAAACAGATAAGTAAGTAAAGGAATAAAGGTAAAGTATACGTGAGGTTTCTAGGCTGCAGGTGGAGTCTTCGCCCCCCACCCTCCGGTCCGAAGACGCACCTTTCCTGGAAGGCCTGCAGCCCCAGCAGGTCCTCCTCGGGCTCGCCGTGCTTGTAGAAGTGCAGCCCCAGGCCCTGCAGGTCCTTCTTCTCAGCGGCGGCGAGGGACAGCTCCACCACGCCCTCGTAGAAACGCACTGACAGGGACGGGACAAGGCGGGGGCATGTCAAGCAGGACACGCTTTGCTCTTAGCTCCCTTATAAAATACTCACAAGGTCATTTTGTTTCTGACATACACGAGTCACTCTGTGACAATACCACATAAAATGTTTCTGAAGAGTCTATCAGAGAACAAGGCTGTAACATTTCTGAAAGGCAGCTAGTAAGTATGTTTTCGTCACTGGAAAAAATGGTTGTATTTAAAAGAACCAACCAGAGAGTTTCAAATTTTTTTTTTTTTTTTTTTTTTTAAGAATAAGAATGATTTAAAAAAATATATATATATTTTATTGATATTTTACAGAGAGGAAGGGAGAGAGATAGAGAGCTAAGAACGTCGATGAGAGAGAAACATTGACCAGCTGCCTCTTGCACACCCCCTTCCGGGGATGTGCCCGCAACCAATGTACATGCCCTTGACCGGAATCAAACCTGGGATCTTTCAGTCCGCAGACCGACACTCTACCACTGAGCCAAACCGGTTTCGGCAAGTTTAAATTTCTTGTTGAAAAAAATTCTGGGATTCAAAACAACACCCCTGGCTAAGAGTTATTACTTTTATGTGAGATTTAATTTTTCAGTACATTTTAAAGAGAATAGGAAGGTAATATTTTAAGAATTAATCAAAACTTTTAAGCATTTTAAAATTAAATGTAACGCCGAAAGCAACCTTACACAGACGGTCTTGTAACGGGACAGGGACTGAAACACCAATGTAAAACGTTACGTATGTGGAGATAGGAAAGAGCACTGGAGCTTTTCCAGGGCCCAGAGACAAAAGAATGAACTTCCTGCCCCACGTGGGCCAGCGAGCTGAAGGGAGATGCGCCTCGCCTCCTGTCCCAGTCCCACATCCCCTGGCCCCAAGCAGTTAGGAAGAACAGGTGCTTCTCACCTTGTCTGTACTGAGCACAGACGTTAGGAAGGTCCACTTGATTGCTGATTTTCTGGTACTCTTTCAGTGACTCCCTTAACATCCTTTCTTTCTCAATCTTATTTTGAACTTGTCGGGAATGCTGGAGAAGCTCGTTTGCCTAAAGGAGAAATGACAAGAGCTTAAAAAGATGTAACATCAAGCAGAGAGATGATGATGTCAACATAAGTTTTAGGCTATGTTTAAGTTTATATCTGGATTATTATAATCAATAATAAAAACAACTCTATAAACTTACTTCTTCTTAATTTTAGGCAGAAAAGTTTTTGACCAAAAAACAACAACAACAACAAAAAACCTAGCTATTCTTAATTCCTCTGACAAATATGTTAAGCATGATAGCTTTTTTCCTGGTAAATCTCTTGTCTAGTCAATACATTATTTGGTCAGCAGGCAGTCCACATGGTACTGATTTTTTAAATTACTTCCACCTGTAGGAAAGGATCAATAAAAATTACCCAATTAACTCTGATACATTACAGACTAACTTTAGATCTTAAAGAATTTCCTTAATTTCTACGGAGGGGCATATGTAACCATCGTCTTTTTAAATATGGCCTAGAAATACCATCAAAGATTCTTTATGAAAAACTTCAATATGTATGGACTTTAAGAAACCAGGTATTCCAACCCCTTTCTTACACAGATGAGGACTCAGAGGCCAGGAGAGGTTCAGGAACCTATCAAAGGTACACATTGGGCGAAAGGAGGGTCCTGGTTCCCATTCTAGCTGCTGTCCATCAGGGCGGGAAACCTCTTCTGTAAGCCCCACTGAACAGGCCCCGGGCCCCCACCTTAGAACAGACTGCGTCGTCAGTGCTGTACAGAAGCGGGCAGATGTCCTGCAGGTGCGAGCTGATGCCGTCCACGGCGGCGTTGTCTCTGATATAGCAGTTGATCAGAGAAGCAATTAAAGCCCCGGTCAGCTCTTTGTCCCGGAGCACCAGGTCTTTAAAGGTGGTGATTTTCAGCTGCTCCTGAAATTCCTAGGAGCATAAAAAGAATCCTTCCTTCTGTCAACTACACAGGGATATCCTATTTCCTCACAGAATCAAATTTCTTCAATTAACCAAGACATTAAGACTTCATAATTCAAGAGACAATACACAAAAACTATACAAACACATTTTTGAAATTATCATAGAATCACACAGAACTGAGAAAGAACCCACTGTCCGAATGGCTCACTTTACCAATGAGGAAAGGAAACCCCGCAGAGCCAAGGCCGGGGCCAGGGCCGGGGCCAGGGCCGGAGGCAAGTCTCCCGACTTCAGTCATGACAGGAAAATGATCAATTAGCTACATCAAAACACGGGCTTATGTCTCCTTTTCCAAAATAAGTTAGCATTCTGTTATTCAAGGCTTTCTAGTGTTGGAGTTTAATCTCATTTTCAACAAATCTGCTTGTTAAAATGAGTTTCTAATTGTTGAGGTAATTTTCCTAGAGTAAATTGTTGGTTAGTGATTTGCCTCTCACACGTGCCCGACAGAAATTAAATCCCAGACCTTCGGGATGATCCTCCAATCAGCAGAGCCACCTGCCCATCGCTGATACATGTTTTTACCTCCCAACAGAACTTATTCCACCTGGTATGGAAAAGTTTTCATAATTATCTTAAGGGTGGGTTTTTCTTTTTGTGTGTTTGTGTGTGTGTGTGTGTGTGTTTTACAGCATGTATTTAAAAGAAATAAAAGTACCAAACTAAACAACTCTTTGGACTTGACTGAAAAGAACTAGAGGAATGACTCTGAAGGATAAGAGAAAATTATTTTGATATAAAATATATCAGATTTTGCCTGCCTGGTGTGGCTCAGTGGTTGAGCATCGACCTATAATCTAGGAAGTCAAGGCTTGATTCCTGGTCAGGGCACATGCCCGGTTTCGGGCTTGATCCCCAGGTTGGGCCTTGCAGGAGGCAGCTGATCAATGGTTGGTTCTCCCCATCACTGATGTTTTCATGTCTCTCTTCCTCTCCCTTCCTCTGTGAAACAATAAAAATAAAAAACCAAACAAAACCCGGAGGCTCTAACAAAGTGAATCCCTCAATCTTCAGTGCAATCTTCCCATGACATATTAACTTCATCATAACCTACATGTTCTGAAATGATCCCCTCCGAAGAAAACAAAGGGAGCAGAGGATTAACGGCATGGTCTTACAGGAACAGAAACACCCTACCTTCTGAAGTTCACCTACAATGACTGTGAACTGGTGTTCACAAAGAAGTTTCCACAAAGCCAGAGCTTGGTATGATTTTCGGACCAATTGCTGGATCGCCTGAAGTGAAATCTTTTCACTCACTTGAGCCTCTAGTTACAAATACAATTAATAAAGTTTTATCAAAGGACATAGATTGTTTTATTCCAAGTACAACATTTTACCTCAAATAGAAACAACTATTAAGGTGAAATTCTCATTGTTCTTCTCCCTCCCCCATCACAGGCAACCATGAGCAGGAGTTGTTGATTTCATGTTCTTATCCTCCAACTAACACACCCGTGCAATAACAGCATTGCTGTTTTTAAATAATTGATTTACACCATAGCTTTTTCCATCAGTTGTATTTTTTTGCAAGTTAGCCATAGCAATAAATATAAATATAAATCTAGCATGTTTATTTTAATTGCTGAGTGTTCTATTGTGTAAAGACGTTACCATTAAGCCCACATATATTTGTATTTTTTCCAGCTTTCTTATAAAATACCCTGAGAAAAGGTCTCCGGCAAAATGCAGTGAGGTTTTGCTAGGACTGAGTTTCTTAGACCTAGACTAGGATGCATTGATGAGTCATAAAATCAGATTCAATTACTCAATATAGCCTTTTGTTTTTTCTTAAAGAGGAAATATAATAAAAAAGGGAAAAATTTAGAGTGTAAAACAGGTGGAATTTTTTTCCTAAAATTCTGTTTCAGTTGCATGTTTGCTTTGAAGCACCTGGGTCATAATGTAAGATGTGTCTTTACTGTGTGAGAAGCTGCAGGCTGTGTTCCTGGAGGGAAACGGCTGGCTGTGAGGTATAGGCTATCTCAGCTTTCACTAGGTCTGACCAGATTGCCTACAAAGGGGCCATTTCAGCGCTCACTGCCAGCAATCTGAACGCTCCTATCGGTGTGAACCCTCAGCATAATGCCTGCATGGTCAGGCTGAAGGCCTCACTGAAGCACTGAAAAAGAATTTACAACAGTGAACTGAAAACGAAGGCCAGCACGAAGGAAAGTACCTCGGGGTGTAATGAGCAAATATAATAATTGACTCAAAAAACAAGACAACAAAAAAATTAAATCTCAGGCAAAATTTATGCAATAACACATTATTCCTCCAATTCATATCTTGAATAATTGATGATAATGAGAACTTTTTAATTCCCTCACTCTTTCTTTGGTTATTACTGTTAAATTAGATAAAAACACAACCAAAAACCCGATTCATTTTTTTTTTTTTTTTTTAAATCCTTACCCGAGGACATGCTTATCAATTTTAGACAGGGAGGGAGGAAGAGAGATAATGAGACATCAATGTGAAAAACCGCTGCATAACACCGACCTGTGAGTGAACCTGCACCCTGGGTGCGTGCCTGACCAGAAAATGGGGCCTGAAACCCTTCAGTGGATGGGACCACACTCCAACAACCGAACCGCATGTCAGGGCTGGACTCACATTTTTAACTCTATAAACAAGTGTCACTAATCAAATCAAACCACAGTGCTATCAGTTCACACCCAGAAGGATGGATATTACTTTAAAAACTGAAAAATAACTGGTGCAATGTAGAGAAACTGGAGCCCTTTGTGTTGCTGATGGAAATGTAAAATGGTGCTGTTACAACAGAAAACAGTATGTTAGTGCCTCAGAAAACTAAACATAGAATTACCATATGACCCAGCAATCCCATGTCTGGGTATTAAGCAAAAGAATTGAAAGCAGGGATTCAAAGTTACATTTGCATACATGTTCAGAGCAGGACTGTTCACAGTACTCAAAAAGTTAAACCAATCCTAGTATCCACTAGGATGGATGGATAAACAGAAGTGGTATAGACACACTGGAATATTATTGTTTTAAGAACAGAAGGGAATTCTGACATGCAATACAACATGAATAAACTTTGAAGACATTACGCTAAGTGAAATAAGCCAATCACAAAAGGGTCAATACTGTATCATTTCACTCGCAGGAGGTACCCAGAGCAGTGAGATTCAAGGGACAGAAAAAAAGAAGGTTGATTGTCAGGGGCTGAGGGCAGTGTGAAGTGGGGAGTTACTGTCTTACGGGATTCAGTTTCAGTTTGGGAAGATGAAAAAAATTACTACAAATGGATAGTGGTGATGTTTGCACAATGTGAGTGTATTAAATGCCACTAATTATACCCTTATAGTAGTTAAAATGGTACATTTATGTTATATAAATTACAATTTAAAAAAACTCAAAGAAAAAAAGGTGAGTATCATGTTTTCCGGAGGATGAGAAAAAATGGGCTGAAAGTTATGAAAATACATGGCATCCATACTGTCTACTTTCCTCAATCACACTGGTATTTTAATAAAAAATATTAGTTACCACAAACAAGATCTCAGTGAGAGAAGTGCATTGTTTTCTATCCCCCTAATAAAACTCTCCATCAGGCTCGTGCACAGTGAAGCGCCAGAAGCAGTGACTTACCGTGAAACTTCCTCTGCAGCTCCTGCTGCATCTGCTGGGTGTTCCCGTTCTCCGGACGCATGAATCCCAGCAGCCGCTGCGGCACTTTGGCCGTAGTGCTGAAACACAAACGCCAGAATGCGTGCTCGTGTTCTTCACAGCATTACCGAGATATAATTCACACACCACACAGTTCAACAGTTCAAAGCGTACAATTCACAGGGCTGCACAATGATCACCACAATCTAATTTTAGAACACCCCTGATTAACGGTCAATCCCTATTTCCGCCTTTCTCCTAACTCTACTCTAAGCAACCATCCGTCTTACCCGCTGTGTCTATAAACTGGAAGTGTTTGGTTGTTAAAAAAATATTTTTTAAAAATTAATTTCAGAGAGGGAGGTAAAGGGATAGAGAGATGGAAACATCAATGATGAGAGAGAATCACTGATCAGCTGTCTCCTGCATGCCCCATGCTGGGGATTGAACCTGCAACCCAGGCCTGTGCCCTGACTGGGAATAGAACTGTGACCTCCTGAATGAGTTGAGCATCATCAGTGGTTGATGCTCAACCACTGAGCCATGGAGGCTGGGCAACAATTTTGTCTTATTAAAAAATAAAAATTGAACAATATACAGCTTGACCAGGAGCAGTGAAGAGCCCTTGCTATAGTCTCCTCAGTAAGACTGGAGGCTCTTACCCTACTAGAAAGCAAAGAAGCTGCCAAAGACTACTGTCAGGATGATTCAAGAGCAACCCGAAGAAGCAACATACAGAACAATTCTGCGTTAAACACCTACAACAGACTGAAACAATAAAACTATAAGTTGTTACTGTTACTAAATAAGAACCTAAACTGACAGCAGATGCCAAGATGGAGCAAGCCTGCTGCTGTCTCGCGCACTGACCACACCTGGAAACCTTGGACAACATAAAGAGCAGCAACTCCTTGGTTGCTGAGAAGTCAGGTTCGTGGTTGCCAGGGGCTAGGGGAGGGGAGAGGAGTGATCTGGACTAGGTGTGGGAGTCCCACCAAATTCTTAAGCTGAAGCTCTAATCCCCAAAGTAATGGTGTTGGGAGGTGGGCCCTTGGGAGCTAATTAGGTTTAGATGAGACTATGAAAATGGACATGATCGGTACCCCTATAAAAGGGTACCAGCGAGTTGCTCCCACTTTCTCTCTGCCATGTAAGGCAGCTGTCTTTAACCAGGAAGTGAGTCCTCACCAGAACCTGAAGGTGTTGGCACCCTGATCTCAGACTTCTAGCTCAAGAACTGTGAAAAACAAATGTCTGTCGTATAAGCCAGCACACGTGATCTTTGTTACTCCAGCCTGAACTAAGACAGGGAGTGTCTGCTAATGGGTACAGGGTTTCTTTTTGGCATGATGAAAATATTCTAGAATTTTAGACAGTGGTGGGTAATGACTGAATACCCTTGTGACTCTACTGAAAACCAATGACCTGTATGTTATAGAAGGATGAATTTTATAATAAGTGAATTATACTTCAGGAGAAAAAAAAGAAAAGGAAAAAAAAAAAAAAGAGAGAGTAAATAAATGCCTTTTATTCTTACTTTGGATTTCCTAGTGGTCCTCCTGAAAACTGGGAGTTTCTGTCTAGAAATTCTTGCAAGCCTTTTAGTTCCAGCAGTACCGACTCCAGCATCTGGGAGGGAACACTACTTTCAATCTGTAAGAAAGAAAGTATTTTCAACAGTTTAAAACAGTGAAAAGGCATATATATATATATATATATATATATATATATATATATATATATATGAAAAACATACACTGTACTAGTATATCTATAACTAAATGTAAACTTTAATTTGAAGTACCCTAACTTCATAAACAGTTAGGGGTGACCAGGTCAGCAGGGGAGGGCAGTTGGGGGCAACCAGGCCAGCAGGGAGGGCAGCTGGATGTGACCAGGTAGCAGGGGATGGCAGTTGGAGACCATCAGGCCAACAGGGAGGGAAGCTGGCTGTGAGATCAGGCAGGCAGGGGAGGGAAGTTGGGGGCAATCTGTCCAGCAGGGGAGCTGTTAGTGGGCAATCAGGCTGGTAGGAAGAAGCAGTTGGGGCAATCAGGCAGGCAGACAGACGAATGGTTAGGAGCCAGACAGTGAGAGGGTGCAGGATGGGCTGCAGGACACCTCCTCACCCAATGCATGAATTTCGTGTACTGGGCTTCTAGTATACTATAATAAGAACATGCCTATTTTTAGAAATGTGAACTGAAAAAGATCATCAGAATTTAAAAGATATTTGGTATCTTTTCATTTTAAAAAAGAATAAGTTTAAAATAAATTGCATTCATATTACACATAAAAAAAAAAAAAAATCTGCCAAAGCCGGTTTGGCTCAGTGGTAGAGCGTCGGTCTGCGGACTGAAAGGTCCCGGGTTCGATTCCGGTGAAGGGCATGTACATTGGTTGCGGGCATATCCCCAGAAAGGGGTGTGCAAGAGGCAGCTGGTCGATGTTTCTCTCTCATCGACGTTTCTAGCTCTCTATCTCTCTCCCTTCCTCTCTGTAAAAAGTCAATAAAATATATATATATTTAAAAAAAAAAAAAAAAAAAATCTTACTACCTGCATTTATAATACATAGTTCTATAAGATGCTTTTTCAAAGTAATCTAAAATGTAGGCAAGTACATAGAAATTAGTATTTAGTCCATAACTGGATATGTAAACAAAGTATTTAAAAGTTAACTTTGAGCAACATTGAGTAGGACTTCTCTAACCCTCACAAAAACCTCCTGAGGGAGATAGATGATTTTTCTCATTTTACAAAGAGGTATCAGGCTCTGAAACGCTAAGGACTTTACTCATTTATTAATAAGGGTAGAGCAGAGACTTAACCCAGGGACTGGACAAATTATTGGATAAGTACACAAACGTAAAAGAATAACCATTGCATTGTGTGCATAACACCAAGAAATGTGCAACACTACCCTCACTCATCAGTAACAACCTGGTTAATACAAACAATGGACCACACTTACTGCAGTGATCTCTCTGTTGCCACTCTTGAACACTCTTTCCACAACTAAACTAGCATCCCAGATATTTCTGCAACAAAAAAATGTTTTCATAATTATGCTGCAGTTAAATAAAAATAATTACAATATGTAGTAAATATCTTTTATGTGTTTATTAAAATGTAGTCATGGTTTCATTTTACATTGTACTAAGTTATCTGGAAAGAATGAAAACAGGAAAATTTTAAAAGCTGATATATCTAACTTATTTAACTAAGTTGAAAGATTTAGATAATGAATTGTAAACAAGGAAGCTTATAATGCAAAAAAAAATTTTTATAAAGGAGTTCTGCACCATTTCAAAGTACTAAACAAATAATTAGAATGAAAGCATACATCTTAAATCTAAGACAAATACATACTGATATGACCATTAACTAGATAATATGGTAGAACTGATTGCCAAAGTGGCTGTTCTTCACCCCTCCCTGTGCCTATCCCCTTTTCAGCTGACTGATGCTGCTCTCACAGCGAGGGGTCCAAGCCCCACCTTTTGAATCTGGGTTGCCTGGGTTGGCCACGTAAATGACATGGTCACGGTGGTAGGCCGGGGCTGGGCAGAGGCATCACAAGGCTCCACAAGTCTCTGCTGTCCCATGAAAATCCCTGGCTGCCTGCGGAGGGTGAGAGGCATGTGGAACAGCACAGCTGCTGCAGTGGAGACCACTCCGGACCAGCACAGGAACGTGACTGGGAGCATGTGAGACTCCTGCCAATGGGGAGAGCGCTCACTTCACCCTCACAGTGACTGCACAACCAAGAGGGAGCCTCGCCGTGACCAGAACTGTGTGGCTGACTTGCAGGCACACGTCACAGAGTAATGGGGCTTGTAAGGCATGTAGAATATATATACATATATGTGAACAAATACAGAAATATAGATGGTTAGATAATAAAGGAGTTGAATACTAGAGAACAATCTTATTAATGGACAAGTGGATTAAACTTTAGGTACAATTTAATAGGAATAAATGAAGCCCCAAAGATAGAATTAAAAATAGTCAATGACACAAACGAGGCTAAGATGAGCAACACTCAGGTATTCCATGAAAAACTTACCCCATGATGCGGGAAAAGTAAATGTATATGCCATTGTGCTTTCCGGAGCACACAAGCTCTGGCCCAGCCATGCAGCTCATAGTTGGGGCCTGAATGGCTGGGTGCCCGGAAGCTGGCGTAGACATGACGGGAGGGTGGACGCCTTCACACATAAGAAAAACGGATCTTAATATCAAATGATAAACATTCTCAACAACCCAAGTCTGCCGTGTCTAAACCCATAGGAACAAACATTTACAAAATACTGGAATAAACAGATATTTCATTTGATTTTTGACAGAGAGACTGAGATTTAAATGGGTGCTGCCATGTAGGCTTTCCAATATGGGCCATGCAGGATGGAAAGACAGCTTGCCATCACTGCTTCCTAATGCTGGAAGGGAAACTAACTAATTGGACAGTTTTCACAGTGGGTACTAATTACATCTTGGTACCCAGTTAAGGGGCTTTCCAGGTACTATCAGGTACTAGTAAAGATTTTCTAAGTAAAGACATTTGTAGCCAAATGCCATTAGCTGCTTGGATGTCACTTCTTGTTTTATTTTATTATTGATTTTAGAAAGACAGGAAGAGAAAGTGGGGGTGTGGGAGATGGAGGGAAATTGTTGTTTCACTTCTTTATGCTTTCTCTGGTTGATTCTTGTATGTGCCCTGACCAGACACAGAACTGTAACTGTGGTGTAATCAAGACGCCGCTCTAACAACTAAGCACCCAGCCAGGACCTGCATGTCACTTCTTTGGAATCACATTATTCTGACAGAAAAGGGCCTCGGTGATAATGGGACAGAGCGCTAGCCTTTCCCGGAGAACGGCAGCAGTGAGTTAAAAAAGAGGCACCTTGGGCTGGTGTTCCCAGAAAGGACGGGTTTGGACACTGAGCGCCACCAGGAAAAGGAGAGCCTACAAGGAAATAAGAACATGAAGATTTAGACAATAACTCCTCAATTGTTGAATTTGTTCAAATTTACACACAGAAGTTGTTTCTAAACATAAGAGTGAGGAACGGCCGGCACCGGTTTGGCTCAGCGGATAGAGCGTCGGCCTGTGGACTGAAAGGTCCCGGGTTCGATTCCGGTCAAGGGCATGTACCTTGGTTGCGGGCACATCCCCAGTAGGGGGTGTGCAAGAGGCAGCTGGTCAATGATTCTCTCTCATCAATGTTTCTAACTCTCTATCCCTCTCTCTTCCTCTCTGTGAAAAATCAATAAAATATATTAAAAAAAAAAAAAAAGAGTGAGGAACGGCACCACTCATACCGTGCTCAAGAATTAGGGACTCAACTCATTTCCCACTAATTTTTAGCTGGAAAACATTGAGGTGGGAGTTTGTTTATTATTAAATCATTCATTTCCTTCCTTTTAGATAAATTACAAATGAGTTCTGTAAACACTATTTGTCACATTTTATTTTGTTTCCTAACATACATTAAGAACTCAATATACCATTACTTTTAAGTCAGATATCTGTATAATTATTCACCAATACAGTAGCAGTAAGTAAAATATATTGAAAAGCTTTGTCCATTAAAGGTTCTACAACTCACTCCATTGGAAACAGTTTCATTTCAGTGTTTCATACTCACTGGCATAGACCGGAGAGCCCAAGATGGGACCAACATTGCTCGGGGTGGGGAGAGTGGCTGGAAATCTCATTTGCGCTTCCCCGCCATACCTGTCGATGACAACGCAGACTGAGTTTATTCAGTGAAGCAGTCCACCTGAAAGGCTGGAATTGTTCTAAGGCCTGCTTAGCTTTCAAAATAGAGGTTCACACACTAGAGACGTTAATAGACAGGTATTGTGTTTACAGCGAAACACAGGGTGGAGCAAAAGTAGGTTTACAGTTTATAGAGTTTTTCTTGCATTACTTTTGCTCATCCTGTGTATACAGATATATTAAAAAATATTTAGTAAAAGTTGACTTGAAATTCTATCAGAAGTATTATAAGGGACTGGTAATTTCTAATAAAAGGTTAGCAAAGCATAGAATTTACTTAATGAGATATGGTACTATAATTTTCATACTAGATTATAGTTAGACAGAACTTCAAAAAAATTCTTTTAAACAAGTCACATTTCAAATTCTTATCCTTAGCTAAAAGTTTTCCATATAAAAGTATCTGTTTGATTCCAAGTTTCCTTAGAGTGATTCAAAATCTCAGTGCCAATAAGACCCCTATTGCAGAAGTGGCTCAGTGGGGAAACAGAAAACAAAGCAGCTGAGGTAGAAAGAAGACCAGACAGAGAATGGGTAACAACGCATGAACTGCTAATTAATTAGCTGCTTCTATTAACATTCACGTTCCAGAGTTCACCTTTGTGCAAACATATTTTAGTAACTCACTTGTCTGTCAAGCCGTTCGAGTATCACATTCACCAATATAGCAGCCATTTAAAGGGGCCAAGAGCCAGAGAAAACGGACACACACCTGAAGAAAGCCCGCGCAGCCCACGCCGACACCTCTCTGTCACAGGCGGCGGTGGAACAAGCCAGGATAAGGCAAGTGGCACAAGCCTGGTCCTCCTGTGTGAAGACAGTGTCTTCCCTTAGATTAGACACAACATTTAAGGAGTGTTGCTGTACCCAGTGTTTAAATCTGTGCCTGGCAGATAGCAGGCCTCAATAAAGATTTGCTGACTTAATGAAATCAATTGATTTGAAAAAAGGGGAAATAAAAAAGCATTAGCTTTAAACGTATAGTGTATTACAATTGCTTCCAAATATCAGAACATATGTAGTGGTTAATGTAAAGAAGGAAAGATTACCTGTTACAGTATTTTTGGTCCTAATATATAAAAATTAGCTATCTTTTCCATTGTTTCTTTATTTAAATTATCATCGCAGTAAAAAAAAAAAGAAAAAAAAGTGCATATAATTACCTGATGTAACTTAAAGAATCTTTCAATCTCTTCTCCATCTCCACCCACATTACTCACAAGTAGATGCCTCAGTTGATCTACTGGTCTAAGTTTATGAAACATAAGACTCCCCTACAAAGTTCAAAAAAAATAAAAGGAACACGAATAATAAATTTACCCTGTTATTTAATAAAACCAATGAAACCAACAAAAAAAATACAATGATACAAAGTAAACAAGTCAAAAAGAGCATTTACATTTCAACTCTCAACCTAAACCAAATCTATATATCCATAACAAATTTAATAAGAAAACACTGCTCCATCAGACATACACATCAGTACAGCATGTGCCATTACCATGCATTAAGAAAGCTGTCCTTCTGACGAGAAGATTACAGTTAGATTACACATTAATCATGTTGGCACAAACATGTTCATTTAGAAAAAAAAGCTGGATCCTTATTCACACCTTACAGCAGGATAAATTCCAAGCAGATCAAAGATTTAAAGGATAAAATAAAAAAAGAAACTATGGTGAATGCTTTTATGAACCTCAGCGTAAGTTTTTCAATATCACATAAACCCTAAAAGATAACTTGAAAGTTTCAACTACTTATAAAAGTATCAAACCCCTTGATACACAAAAAGCTTTTATTAATTAAATAAAAGACAATTCAACAGGAAATAGATAGTTCACAGAAAAATAAGCACTTTAAATCACAATGGGTCTCACTTTTAATAAAATGGCATATAGTACGTGGATAGGATGCGGAAACAGGCACTTAGCATTACATATGAGTACGGGAAGTCTGGCAACATCCATCCAAATTACAAATGCACATACCCTTTGTTGAATTTTTAGGATTTACAAACATTCCCCCCTACCCAGATTGGCTCAGTGGATAGACAGTCAGCCTGTGGACCAAAGGGTCCCAGGTTCAATTCCGGTCAAGGACACCTTGGCTGCAGGCTCCTCCCCACCGGAGCCTGGACAGGGCTCATGCAGGAGACAACCAATAGATGTGTCTCTTTCACATCGATGTTTCTGTCTTTCCCTCTCTCTTCTCCTCTCCTTAAAAATCAATAGAAAAATGTCCTCCGGTGAGGATTAAAAAAAAAAAAAAAAGAGTAAACATTTCCAAGTACTTAAGTAAATGATCACCAAGCAAATATTCCAAATATAAAAACATTAAAAATGGCTTCCCTTCTTTTTGTCTTCATCTTAATTGCGTATGTACATACCTGTGCTGAGAGGAGAACAAACTTCTTTGGAGGCAACATATGCTGCTGCACAACAACCGGTGAGTCAGTTATTGGAATATGATCCTTATTTAAAGGTGTAATTATCTTATCAACTTTCAATTCATCTATTGCAGAAAGAGCCCAGGAATGACCATCGACACGGGTCGTCATCTATATGAAAGAAACAAACTTAAGGCTGATAGTACTAACGTTAATATTAAGTAAAACCTTTAAAAAGGAAAAGTTATACAGACTTAATCTGTAATTAAGTGTAGAATTAAATAAATTAACACATTAACAAATATTCTCAAAAGTATTTTCTAATTATTTCAATCAGGCATCTTCTCTAATACCAAAGGATAAAGGAAATTTTTCCTGGTAAACTATAATAGTATTTTCTAGAATTACAATTTTTTCCATAACCAAACACTAACTACCTTCCACCATCTTTCTAGGACAGACTGATGTATACGTAGGTTCGGTGCTTACATTTTGCTGACATATAGATTTATATTCTCTTCAATCCTAAGATATTTCTTTAAAAAAATGTTTTAATCTCCTAAAATACTTTTATTATAAAAATTTCAAGCATCCATATGCCCAGTACCTAGATTCAATAATTGTTAGAATTTTGCCATATTTGCTTTCTTTTTTTTTTTCTTGAACCATTTGAAAGTTATAAATATGATATCACTGCTAAATACTTTTACATGCATCTCCTAAGCATAAGGAAGTTTTAACCAGGATACTATTATAACATTTAAGAATATTAACAATTCTCTAACCTAATGTCCAGCCAATATTGAATTTCCCCATTGTTCCAGTGTCTTTTAGAGCTGTTTTTGGTAGATAAGAATTTGGCTAAAGTTTATGAACTTCATTTATATTTGTGTTTTTGTTTTTTCTTAAAAGTCCATACTTGTTTAAGAAGAACTCAGGTATTATATAAATGAAATAAAATATCAAGTATTTGCTTAAAAAAAGTTAACATTTATTGAATGCTTCCTATGTACCAGGTACTGTTCTTAGTGCTATACACATGAATTATTTAATCCCACAATAATCCCATACAGCTAGGAACTATTACAGACAAGGAAATTGAGGGCCAGAGACATGTTATGTCATTTCAGCCATAGCTTTGAGGAAATGGAGCCAGCATGTAAACCTCAACCACTGACATTGCACTCCCATCAGGACAGGGTTAATAACTTACTAAGTTCTGAATCCTTAGTCTATCACAGAATGAAACACAGGAGGAGCTCAGTGAAGTTCAAGGATAAAGGAAAGAATTTGAGAAAGGTGCGTCTTGATCCCAAACCAACCTTCTGCTCCTACCCCGGCCACTTTGGTCCAGGTCAGACACTTGGAGGAGCCGTTACAAACCATGAACCTATCCTGGGGGTTGGGTTCCTCCTCCTCCCATCTACACACCTTTTCTCCCTGCTCTGTTCGAAAGGCTTAAGCTGGAGAATAACCAGGAAGCAGGAGTGACAGCTGGAACCCAAATGCCTTTAAAGAAATGGTTCCAAAGAGAGTATCAGATACTCACACCCCAGTGGGAGGTGGTTTATCTGTGTGATCAGCGCCCTCTGGGGCAGGCAACATGGACTGTGCTAGGGCATCGAAGAGGACCCACGGGGTGGGATAGGGGACAGGAAGGGGAGGGAGCGGATGGTCTCCCCTTCGGTCCTCAGGGCTGGGATGGCAGGTCAGATGCGGGACTGGGCTAGGACAGCAGGGTCGTCTCCTCACTCAGAGCCTTGACATCAACCTCAGGAAGTACGTGGTGGTATTTGCTTTTAAAACACAAGTTTATGTGTGTGTTCATTTAGTTATGTACGGAAGAGAGAAAAAAGGACGAGGGAAATGTTGGTAATTTACTTATGTGGGGTTCAAGTTACCATTTTCTCTATTTTTGTGCATGTTTGCAAATTTCTATAATAAAAAAAATATTTTTAGTTTAGGAAGGACTATAAATTAAAGAGATTACTATAAATTCCTAAGTCATATCTATAATGGATGGCCTCATTTTAACTAAAAATACTATACATTTAAAAGGGACAAAGATAATTCAGAAAAGATATATGCATTTTTGGGTTCACTATGAAAAATATACTATAAAGGTTTCAAAGTTTACTTTAAAGATTTTTTAAATGATTACTATGACTTCTAACTTCACAGAGAAAAAACAAAGAACAGGATACACTTTTTTTCTAATTATGATTTTTAATCATATGAGATTGTTAGATGCAAACAGTAATAAATCAAAAGATAAAATTTGTTACAATGTTATCCTTCACTTAAAATTGTATAAAAAGCTCTTTACAATTCTCAAGATAACTTACCTGGGTTTCCATCATTGGCTTTTGGAAAGGAAATGTATCATGGTTGACACACCACAAAATGTCATTATCTTCATTTTCTGAGGCTGCCATCAATAGGATTCCTAAAAGTTTAACACACAAAATCTTATGATGCCTAATGATATGCATCCTAAGTAATCTCAACAATTAACAGCATTAGTCATTATAGATAAGTTACAAAAATAAAAATAAATCCCCTAAAAGAACTTATAATTACTGGTAGGATTATTAAATGTTCCAGGTCTTCACTTTACTTTTTTTAAGTAAACACTTATTTTTTTCAGACTCTGAATTTCCTACAGTTAGAATATATTTTGCCATCAATGGCTTTATCAGTTTAATTACTATTTTTAAAAACATGTTTAATACATAAATTCTGTGACTTAACAATCAATCTAATATTCAATGAAATACTGTTCATATACTGGTTAACTGAAACATATTATAAATAATAAAGATGAAGCTCCCAGTGGAATGGCAGAGATATATTATAAAAGCATTACCTCAATACTAGCTGACATCGCAGTTTGATTTTTAAATATATTCTCTTGTGCTCCTCCCACTAATTTGCACTCTTTTCCTTTTCTTTTTCCCCCCCTTTCTCCCTAATTTGCTCTCTTTGTAGTGACTTTAGAGATATCAGCTTAAGTTCACTGAGCCCATAATTAATTAAAATGTATTACCAGCTTGTGAAAAATGGAGAGTAATATATATCAAGGTGGTAGAAAGATTTCTTAAAATTTAGCATATATACTTAACAATTGAAAATGCTTAAAATATACACTGAATGGCCAGATTATGATCTCTGAATGCGTAGTATCTGGCCACTCAGTGTACTTCTCTTGAGTACCTCATTTATTTGATATCAGAGCTACTATAAATCATGCACCTGTCAGTTTTTCCCTTTGCACTGGCTGACAGGAAGCTCAGGGCAAATAGGTGGTTGACTCCAGCAAAAGTCTAGAATGCTTTTTGGTACCTGATGGAGATACAAATACACCGAGTGGCCAGATTATTATGTGTTCAGAGATAATCATAATCTGGCCACTCAGTGTAATGTTAATATTAAAAACAAAACAAAACACCTCTTGAATAGGAAATCAAAACATTCTATATTTTATTGAAAAATCTTTACTTTCAAATGTTTCAGTGCATTCTAATTATAATAATTTTAAGAATCCAGTCTTCAGTATGATAGTGTTTTAGAGCTTACCTTTGCTATAGAGAGCTTTGTGTACTTTTGAAGGTTTTTCCACCGTGGACGATGCTGAGAACCCAGGGGGTAAGCGGACATGAACCAGTGTCAATGTATTAGGCCGTGCCAGCGGCTGTCGGAATGGGCAGGTGCTGAAATATAGCCTTACACCTGATGGTGGGTGAAATCACAAATCAGTAACAGAAAATAAAAGACCTGAGCTACATGTATTGTTATTAACGCAATTCCAAAGAGAAACAGAACTCTGTGAAAGCCACAACACTTTCCTGACTGATCTTAAGTTACCAGGGTACTACAGGGGAAGTGGATTTCTATGACAAGATCACTTGAAATTGAGAGGTGAATCAACAATCTCAGCAGGACGAGCCTGCCACCCTAAGCGGTGAGCTTCCGGCTCCGTCCCTGATTGTTGGCACCTTAGCTTCCTGGCTGCTTTTCCTCTATAAAGTGAGCAAACAGAACCGAAGAATCCTCCAAGTTTCCCAATCCTTACTTTTATAAACCATTAATACGACTTTATAGTTGATACAGAAGTAAAAATTTCTCTCATGTTTCTAATCATAGATCTCCAATTCTGAGGATTACTAAGTTACAAAAGCAACAACAAACATATAAGTAAAAACATACCGGCATGTGTGACAGCCAATAACTGACAGTCCAGTGACTCAGAGTTTTCAATCACTGCTATTTGAACAATTGGTTTAAAAACAGAACGATCTATTGTCCTAAAAGAAAAAAACACACACACTAGTATATTTTTAAAATGTGTCTACTAAATTCTAAGGGACATTTTCATCTCAAAATATACAGGAAAATAACACTACAGCAGCAAGAACTGGCAAAAACCCCCGAATGTGTGTTGTTTACATTAGTTAATATTGTTAAGAGTAACCTTTTTTCAAAGACATAAAAGAAGGCTAAGTCCATTAGGTAAATGGCTAATGGGGAACAAGATGTTCTCAGATCATCAAATTAGCATTGTAAAAGTTACTGCTAATTAAAAAGGGGAAAAAATGAAGCTTTATGATGAACACCATCTTAACCAACTCTTCAATAGTGGTAAACTGGTTTATGCCTCCTGATGTAATGCTATAAAAAATTCACATTACTTATGTAATACTAGCTAAAGAAAAATTACTTTTAATCTAGTATGGAAAAATAGACAAATTCAGATTACCCCTGAACATTTAAAAAAAACTGTAATGAAGTTCTGTTCTATATTAAAAAGATTAATGACCAATGCAATTAATGAGCTCTGATTGAACCTGGAGAAAAATGGAAAGAAAAATAGCTATGAAGAGTTTTGGAAATTAGTGAGCAATTTTAATATGAACTATATATATATATATATATACACATATACATACACACACACACACATATACATACATACACACACACACACACACACACACACACACACACACACACACACACACACACATATATGTATATGGCTAAGCAACCGGCCGACAGCTATGATGTGCCCTGACCACCAAGGGGCAGATGCTCAACTCAGGAGCTGCCGAGTGACAGCAATTTTTTGGCTCAATCTCCGCAGGTCAGGCAGAGGGACCCCACCTACTGGAGGGACTCCGCTCACTCCGGAGAAGTTATGTCCAGCCCGTCTCACCAAGGCCAGCCCCGTCAGTCACCTTCTAATTAATTTACTTTCAATGTGTACAAATCTGTGCACCGGGCCTCTAGTATAATTATGATATTATTAATTTTAGGGTGTGAAATTTATATTGTAGTTAGGAGAGAGAAGATGAAGGATTTATAAATAAAAGCAATGATTTGTGCAACTTACTTTTCAAATGGCTCATGGAGTGAGCAACTGAGGCAAATTGCTAATTGGTGAGTTTAGATCAAGGGTATACGAGTCTTATGTCCTTCAACATTCCTCATATTTTAGAGATACTATGACAAGGAAGTAATTTTAATATCCTGCACACAAACAGTATAATTATGCCTGCAAATGAAATGTCTGACAGTAAGTTATAGATCACCTCGCAATGTTTCCAGCAGCGGAGACGATAGAGTTCTGCGACACTGAAGCAACTCTGCTCATGCCTTGTCCATCGCTGCCCAAATCATAAACCTGCAAACAAAAATTGTACCCATGACTATAACCCGCATACATTTTATTTAATATCTCTTCCACTTTTTAATGCTTTATTCATTGATTAAAAAATATACTTTAGCGGAGACTGGTTTGGCTCAGTGGATAGAGCGTTGGCCTGCGGACTGAAAAGTCCTGGGTTCGATTCTGGTCAAGGGCATGTACTTTGGTTGCGGGCACATCCCCAGTAGGGGGTGTGCAAGAGGCAGCTGGTCGATGTTTCTCTCATTGACGTTTCTAACTCTCTATCCCTCTCAATTCCTCTGTGTAAAATCAATAAAATATATTTAAAAAAAAAAAATACACATACACACACACACACTTACCCTGGCCAGCATGACATAGTGGTTGAGCAACAATTTCTAAACCAGGAGGTCACAGTTCGATTCCTAGTCAAGGCACATGCCAGGGTTGCGGAAAATCGAAAGGATTGTGCCCTGTTTCTATTTTGTATGTCAGTTTTTTTTTTGTTTTTTTACAACTTTATTAAATAGACTTTTCCCTTTAATTTTGGTACTTCATATAGGTTTGGAAACATTCACAGATTTGAAAATTTATAAAAAGGAGACCCTAAAAGTGGTCTGGATTTTCTTTCTTTCTTTCTTTTTTTTAAATCACACAGTTCATAGGAAAAGTCTAAGGAGCCACAATCATCTTCTTTAAAAACAGGGATGGTAGGCCACGACCAGGTAGTTCAGTTGGTTAGTGTCGCCCTGATACACCAAGGTTGTGGGCTGGATCTCCAGTCAGGCAACATACAAGCAACTATTAAATGTATAAATAAGTGGAACAACAAATCAATGTTTCTCTTTCTCTAAAAATTAATAAACAAAACAAAAAAGGGAAGCTTATTCCCACCTTAAATGGTAGTATAATATTAACATTTACCTGTATTACTCCTTTCTCAGATCGTGTATATAAAATGTTTCTAGAATTATCAATTTCAATTTGAACAATCGGATCTGAAAGACACAAAAAATCCCTCAAAGATTAACAAATCCAATAAAGCAAGTAGCCACTTAAAATTGTCAAATCAGAACTATGCATTCAGAGAGTTTCCTCTTGCTTTGCTTGTTAAAAACAGACATCAAATATTGTGACTGGGTTAAGAGCATGAAAAATAAGTTGTTCTAGCTAAATAAATGTTAAACCAAAACAAAACAACTTCTATATTATTTCTTCACTTGACCAACATTTAATGAGTGTTTGCTATATGCTAGGAACACATGAAATATTTATTCCTCAGCCAATTCCATCAAGAAACTGCCAGTTTAGTTTAATGATTCACTGTGTGAAGGGCAATAATTTATTTTAATCATAAAAGGTTATGGGTTTGATTACTGTCCAGGGCATATACCAAGGTTTTGACACCCAGTCGATTCCTGGTTGGGGTGCATACAGGAGGCAACTAATCAATGCCCCCCTTCTCCCACCCCCCCACCCCCTAGCAATTCCCCTTCCTCTCCCTCTAAACATCAATAAAAACAGATTCTCGGGTGAGGATTTAAAAAAAAATAAAAAAAAATAAAGAGATCTCATGGATATATAACAAACGTATTTAATAAGATAAACTTTCAACTAAGAATGAGAATTTCTCAAGAAAATGTTAAGTCACCAATCTGTTAAATTTTTTTTTTTACTAATTTATTTGTTTTCTACTTACCATCTTCTGAGAATGTGAATTGTAGCAATGAAGGAACAAGAAAAGAAAGTGAGCTCTTTGAGTGGTTGATTTTCCTACATCTTTGGCTAAACCAACCTGCTTCTGCCTTAAAAGAAAAAATTGAGAGAAGACTCGTAAATGTAGATACCTCCATCATAGCAACTATTGTATACCCATGTTTACAGAAAAACCTCAGATCTTAGTGAAATACCAAGAATTGTAAATGAAGACCTACTACTCAAAAATAGGACATGTAGTTAGCTATAACTAAATTACAGCTCTCAGTGAAATCGATGTCTATTCCAGAAACCTCAATAGTGCTATGCTAGTGAACTCACATTTTAATTCTCTTAAAAACTATTTGAAAGTATAAGGAACATAATAAGCGGAGTTTATTATTAAGTGCCTAAATACATAGGGTCGATATCATCTTATCCCACTTCTGCTAAAAGGAAATTTTAACAAGAGCAGCCACCACCATCATAATCTATAATCCACTTTTCAATGACTGAGTTTTGCCATACAAAACAATTTCCTGGTAATGAACAAAGTAAAGAGAAACTGGGCAAGAAAGATACAATGTAATATTAAAAACACACCTGACCTGACTTCTAACTAATAAGGTTGAAAATATTACCTGATTTATCAGTTTTCTAAGGTTTACCTTATGCAAAAGGCAACAGTAGGGAAATGAACAAGAAAAGGCATAAAAGGCATTTCAAAATAGAGAAAACATAAATGATCAATAAGTACACGAAAAGATTTAATAATCTCAGTCATAAAAAAAAAAATAATTTCCTTCCATTAGATTGACCAAAGTTGTTGGACAATACCAGCGTTAGTGAGATTGGGTGTAGGTAGGATACATTCATAGATGTCTGCTAAGAGTCTAAAATTTTAATAGGGCAATATGAAAATATTAAATACAATTTTAAATGAAAATACATAATCCAACTACTAGAATTCTAAGATTCTACACACAAAAATCTACTTGTGCAAAAGAAGGCCTACAAAAGAACACTTACTATAGCTTTATTTGTGAAAAAAGCAAAACATCTAGGCAGCCTCCACGGAAGCAATTAAGTAAACCATGTATAGCTGTTTCTTGGATAACTATGCAACCATCACCAAACATAACATGTATCTATCCACCAGACACCAACAAGACTTTCAAGACATAGTTACTATGTATTTTTATGTGTGTTTATACCCATGAATACATATATAGAAATTTATATACTTAGCAATGTATGTATCATGTTCTAAACAGACATACTGGCTTTTACCTCTGGAAAGAGGACTGGGTTTTGTAGGCGTGTTGCAGACATGGCAAGACTATGGCTTTACTGTATGGTTGAATACGTTCTATAAGAATATATTAATGCTCTTATAGAATTACAAATTAAAAACAAAATCCACCCCTACTTCATCAAAAGGGAGAAAAAAATGTTTATAAATACCAGACTTACCTGGTATGCTACTTCATATAAACAGCCATCCTTTCCAGCCAAGAAAATTCTGCCGTTATCAGTGGATGTTATTGTTAAAAGGTAAGTGTTATCAGTGGGAAGAGAATACAAAGGATCTGGAAGCAACTGCATTCCACCGCACATACTGTCGTTAAGAACTCCAGAACCTATTTTTTTTTAAAAGAAAAAAATACAGCTCTTTGAAAATAGTCACTGAATTATCTTTAGAAGTGAAATATTTACTGCATTATTACTGATATGCTTAAAAGCTTCTATAACATGTATTTTTAAATTACTATAAAAAGTTCGATACAATGATTCAAGTGAAATAGAACCTATAGCATATAATTCTAATACATAGCATTATAACACACCAATAAAAAAACTAAACCAGCCCTAACCGATTTGACTCAGTGGACTGAGTGTCTGCCTGTGGACTCAAGGATCCCAAGTTCGATTCCAGTCAAGGGCATGTACCTTGGTTGCTGGCACATACCCAGTAGGGGATGTGCAAGAGGCAGCTGATCGATATTTTGATATTTCTCTCTCTCATCGATGTTTCTAACTCTCTATCCCTCTCTCTAAAAATTTAATATATTAAAAAAAAAAAACCTAAACCAATTATTACATTTTGGAAAAGAATCCAAGAACGTGGCAGTAATAATAATTAATGTGAGTCACTCATTCAACACTGTTTCACCCAAAAGAGTGAAATTGAGAGCTTCTTACTTCAAGGTAAAGAATAATGCATTATATTTCAGTGTTCCATGTTAAAATGGCCATTCAATAAATCTGAAATAAAGATGTTGAAGACACTACTGAAAATCTCACTAGAATAGACTATTCTTCTATTGCCTTCCGTTTATATTGTATATTAAAAACATGCACGTTAATAGGGTAAAGACATCCAAAATACTTTGTGGAGTTACTATCCTGAAATATACCATATCTATAGGGAAATTTATGTTAGCAAATAGCATGGAAAATTGTATAAGTTTATTGTTTTTTAATTATAACATTAAATCCATCAACATATTTTTATTTTAAAAACACAATATGTGGGTTGCTATACCTGTTTGCAAATTAGCATAGCTGAGTCCAAGAATCACTATGTCCACAGGGGTTGCCAAAACCAGGAGGTGTCGTATGTGAGGCTGAAAGATGCCTAAGACAAAGCAGACATGGGTTTGGGATTATTTTCCCTCACAAATGCAGGATTGAAGCATGTATAGAATAAGGTTTTGCCATTACAATGAGCTAGTAATTAAACAGTATATGAAAAGTCTGAACCTAATTTAGTTCATTAAATACTTATGACCATTTAAAAAAGTAAATAGCAAAAAAGAACTACCTTAGTAAATAAACACTTCAGTATTTAATATTTAATGCCATTTAAACCACTTATATTATAAAAGTTTAGATTTATTAATATATAAAGATTTCTATTTGTATGCCCACATTTATAGCAGCATAATTCACAGCACCCAAACGGTGGAATACACCCATGTGTCCAACATATGAACTGATAAACAAAATGTGGTATATACATACAATAGAGTATTATTCTGCCCTTTAAGAAAGTAAATCCTGCCGAAGCCGGTTTGGCTCAGTGGATAGAGCGTCGGCCTGCACACTGAAAGGTCCCAGGTTCGATTGCGGTCAAGGGCATGTACTTTGTTTGCGGGCACATCCCCAGTAGGAAGTGTGCAGGAGGCAGCTGATCGATATTTCTAACTCTATCTCTCCGTTCCTCTCTGTAAAAAAAAAAATCAATAAAATATATTAAAAAAAAAAGAAGAAAGGAAATTCTGGCCATTCTGGCCCTAACTGGTTCAGCTCAGTGGATAGAGCTTCAGCCTGCAGACTCAAGAATCCCAGGTTCGATTCCGGTCAAGGGCATGTACTTTGTTTGCGGGCACATCCCCAGTAGGGGGTGTGCAGGAGGCAGTTGATGGATGTTTCTAACTTTCTATTCCCCTTTCTCTCCCTTCCTGTCTAAAAAAAAAAAAAAAAAAAAAATCAGTCAGATATATTTATTCTGGCATACTAAAACAGGGATGAACCTTGAAGGCATCATGCTAAATGAAATAAACCAGTGGGAAAAAAATAATATATAATTCCACTTATATCAGGTACCTGGAGTAGTCAAATTCCTAGGAAGAGAAATGAACTTATATGTCAATGAGTTTCTCAAATGAGTTTATATATCAAAACAAGATAAATTACAGTAACAAAGAGGACATCCCTAAGTACAAATTTTTTTTTGTGTTAATGCTTGTAAGACTCTGTTTAACTTGAGAAGTGTGGCATGGCATGAGATGCTATGTGTAAGTGTCACTGTGATTATGTTATGAAGTTCAAAAATAGTGTCTCACTGATAGGAATAAAATAAAATAATATCTTATGTTATGATTATGGACATCTCTTTATACATATGCATTTGGCCTACCTAAGGGGCTAAATATCATATAAAATACAATAAGTTAACATCATGACTTGGTTTTACTTTCACTAATGAATATAAAGGGACTTAAAAGCCAGTTTTGTGTATCTGCACACACCATAATGAGCTATCAAACTCCAGGTCAGTCAAACTCCTTAGGGGACACTTTGCATATTAGGCTTTAATATACAAAGAAGATAGATGAGCAATTTGGAAGATTTTAATAGGAAATTCACCGACTTAAAATGTGTTGTCATTTAACCCTAAAGTATTTGCAGTCTGTGTGTATACAAATATAACTTTAATCCTTGTTCTTTATTTCTTACCAGCTTTTGGTTTCACAAGCCCCACAGCAAGAATAGTTTCACTAAGTCCATCAAAATAGGCAAGGTCTCCTCTGTGAATAGTTGAAGAAAATCATGTTACACAAAACATAATGGAAAATAAACGAGCAAAGAAACTGTTTCAGTTCCAAGACCTAAGGCTACACATAAACCTGTTTCTCAAAACATTCCACCCAAGCTGCAGGTCTCTAACAGCAATCTACTTATTATAGGGGCAGAGACAAGAGTGTCGAGAGGACCAACAAGCCATGAGTAAGATCACTAGTTCAACAAATTTTATGCAAAAATGCCTTGGGCCTTCCCTCAGGCTCTATTACATACAGTTAATTTCCAGATCAAGCACAGAATCATAAACATCGTTTCTTTAAATCAACAGTCTCCTATTCTGTAGAAATGCAAGGAAAGCATAAGTCTTTAAAAATGTCAAAGAAGTATTGATTGACAGTCTTTATTGCAGGACAAAGACCTTGGGACCTAGACCCCTGCTACTCAGAGTGGCACCTGCTCTGACAACTTCACCAGAGCTTGTTACAAATGAACTCTTAACCTCATCCAGAACTGCTCTAACAGTCCCTACTTTAACCCACTGAGGAGCACTGACCCAGGTGTTGGATAAATGAAACATACATCAGGCAAGGTCTCATGAGAACATGAGGTGCAATAAGATCATCTAAATTCTAGTCATGCTAATTCATGCCAGCCTTAAATACATACCCATCTTCATAGTTCCACATGAATATGTCACTGTCAATTGTGAGCCAAGCTCTGCTGATAGGAGGAAACACACCCATCATGCAGTTACACTGCATATCTGAGTTGTGTGGATGTAAGGTAAAAATATTTCAGTCTCATATATTTCTATTTTAAACTTGTTTCAAAAGACTTTGATATAAAATGTATGACTGCCTGGCCAATGTGGCTCAGAGGTGTAATGTCAACCCTAGAACTAGAAGGTCACTGTTCAATTCCTAGGTCAGGACACATGCTACGGTTGTAGGTTCGATCCCAGTCGGGGGAATGCAGGAGGCCAATCAATGAATGTCTCTCCTCACTGATGTTTATATCTCTCCCTCTTCCTCCTCTCTCTGAAATCCATAAAAACGTATTTTTAAAAAAATTAAAAACTTAATCCTGGCTGGTTTGGCTCAGTAGATAAGAGTGTTGGCCTGCGGACTCAAGGGTCCTAGGTTTGATTCCAGTCAGAGGCTTGTACCTTGGTTGCGGACATCTCAACATGATGTCCACATACCCAGTGGGGAGTGTGCAGGAGGCAGCTGATTGATATTTCTCTCTCAGTGATATTTCTAGCTCTCTATCCCTCTTCCTTCCTCTCTCTACAAATCAATAAAACACCTTAAAAATTTTTTTAAAGCATTAAATACAAAGTAAGAGGATACGTCCAAACTGTTCAACAAGTTCAGGTGGGAGCGGAACTCTGCGGATGGAACTGATCTCTGGAAGGTTGGGTACCGACAGCAAACCAGGTCCTTGTAGAGGATAATCCATATCCGACATGCCAGAAACAGTGGGACTATCTAAAAAAAGAAACAAATAGAGCATTTACTTAACATTATTCATGTTTTGGGCATCAAGTGGGTATACAAGAGCATTGCAAGCTACAACAAAATTATGCTTCTGATGGTTCTGAAAGTATAGAGAATGAAGTTAATAAAGTCAATTATAACCTGATGCAAAGCAGACCTGAGAAATTTCATCCATGAGGGGCGAGGGGCACTAAACAAGGTTATCTTTCCCAGATACTCTGTACATAAGAAAACGGTTGGGCCCTAACTGGTCTGGCTCAGTGACTGATGGGTCCTGGGTTCAATTCTGGTCAAGGGAATACCTTGGTTGCGGGCACATCCCTGGTGGGGTGTGCGCAGGAGGTAGCTGATCGATGACTCTCTCATCTATGTTTCTAATTCTCTCTATCCCTCTCCCTTCCTCTCTGTAAAAAATCAATAAAATATATATAGAAAAATGGTTGGTTCAATATTTTAGTATTTCTATTTTTAATTAACCTAAAATGGAATATATCAAAAACTGCTTTGCGATTCTTAGCTCAAACAATTGTGGACAAATAAAATATTGATTGGGGGAAAAATAGCTGTTTTCCTTTCTTACTTAAATATTTAGAGATTAAACTAATCCACGCCCTTTTCCACTGGATTTCCCCCTAGATCAGTGGTCAGCAAACTCATTAGTCCACAGAGCCAAATATCAACAGTACAACGATTGAAATGTCTTTTGAGAGCCACATTTTTAAAACTTAAACTTCTTCTAACGCCACTTCTTCAAAATAGAATCGTCCAGGCCGTGGTATTTTGTGAAAGAGCCACACTCAAGGGGCCAAAGAGCCGCAGTTGGCTGACCACAGCCCTATACCAATAAGGTAAGTCCAAAAATAAGACAGAAACATTTACTGAGGCAAAATCACAGACTGCTCTGCAAAGGGTTCTCACTGCAACCTTTCTCTTGCACTACGAGCCAGGCACTGAGGGGCAGGTTGGTCTCTTCAGCCTGTATTTCCTAGTCCTGAACCAAGCATTAAATCTGATCGCTATTTCACTCAGGCACCCTGTCAGGCTCTCTAACGTACAAAGATGATGGGGAAACTTATGTGAGACGATTTTAAAATGTATTTAGAAAAGTTAAAAACATACAACTAGAGAGAAAAATGCAATCAATTCCTAGGTACTAATGACCTCGCTTCAACAATTACCAATATCATGCCCAGTCATATGGCATTCACATCACTGTTTGCTCCTTCCCTAATGGATCTTCTGAAGCCAATCCTAGACATCCCATTTAGTCTTAAAACCGATTTAATAGGACATGGCACCTGTTGAATGGCAGTGGAGACACAAAGAACGGAATTAATAACTCTGGTGAAGATAGCCTTCTCAAAGAAAGGGATATATTAAAAAAAATATATATATTTGTATTGCTTTCAGAGAGGAAAAGAGAGGGAGAGATAGAAATATCAATGATGAGAATCATCCATGGGCTGTCTCTTGCATGTTCCCTACTGGGGATTAAGCGCAGCAGCCTGGGCATGAGCCCTGACAGGAAATCAAACTGTGACCTCCTGGTTCACAGGGGGAGAGGCTCAACCACCCAGCTCAGGGGTTGGGCAAGAAAGTCAAAGAGGGAGGAACATTCCAGAAATGATGAAGCGTACATGCAACATAAAATCCCAAAGAGGGGCTTTCTTATGGAAAACGGGTTACATTCAGTGTGACCGGAACACTGCGAAGAGAATGGAAGAAGGGGAAGAGGTCAGATGGAGAGGCAGGTGTGTGTACAGGAGAACAGGGAACATGAGGAAAGACCAGAAAGTACCGTCTATCACCATCTGGCCTTCACCTAAGGAGTCAGAGTGAGTACTGCTGTCCAGCAGGAGAGTTGCTAATAGGCCACTCAGCTCTTACTGGACAGGCCCACTGGTAGGTAAGGAACAGCCAGGAACAAATATTACCTTTGCTATGTTTTTTGTCTTTTCTCTGATTATAAGTCTGACTACTAACAAACCGTATACATCGCCAAGGTGTCTTTTAGATCTACACTGCCCAGATCATCCTGGTTATTTTAGCTTGGTGCTTGCTCACCAACTCTCTCTCTTACTTACACTTCTCTGATTTTTCTAACTTCCACCTCACAAAGGAACCACTCTCCCTCCCCACTAACCATTTATGTAATTCCACATGCCTCGAGGAGCCATGATTTAGACGTTAAACAAAACATTTTTAGCCGCTTTCCTTGTTGGCACATGCTCGCCGTTAGCCTCCTCCCTGCCCATCACTGTGGTGACTTCTCTGCCTTTATTCCACTGGTAGTTTTCACTGCCTCCCGGCACTTCATAGCACACTAACTCTACACGTGACGGAGCATGTCTGTGGCAGACCATGATCCACCTGAACTTGGTTCGTTCTTCCGTTTCACTCGAATAGCAATACGAGCAATGAACAAGGATGAGGCTTGGGTTTGGCGCTCCTCCTCTCCCCCACTCAGGCAGGAGGAACCCTAGGGCAGGAGGAGGGAGCAGCCGGTGCAGGTTGGGGTCTTGGCCTCTCTGCGTCCGCTCTTCACCCCTGCCCCCTCCAATGGGTGCCATGAAGAAGGCGAGGCCGGGGAGGAGGCGGGGACGGGGGAGACTGCACACGGGGCTCCTTTCCGCTCTTGGGCGTGTAGCACCCAGCGCCCTGGGGGTGAGGACCCAGCGAGGGGAGGCCCGGGAGGCGCCGATCACTCACTCGGGGCAGACACTAGGAGCAGCTCGGACAGGTCCGGGTACATGCGGTCCTCCTGCAGCTGGCGGTCGATGAGCCGCCCCGCGTTCTCCAGCGCCTCCTGCAAGGCGGAGGCCGACGCGGAGGCCGGCGTCGCGGCGCCCAGCAGCGAGGACGGCATCTCGGAGAGACAGGCCACCAGCGCCCGGAAGAAGCCGGCCACCACGGACCGGCAGGCGAGCACCCAAGCCCCTAGCGCGGACCAGAAGCGGGAGGCGCGCGCGCCAAACGAGCGCCGCGGCGCCAGTTCATGACGCACTTCCGGCGCCTCGGGGGCGGGGCTCGGAGGCTCCGTCGCGGCTTCCGGCGCGGGAAGCCGTTGGGGGCGCTTGGCCTTAGGGGCGGGGCGAGGGAGGGAGAGGCGGCAGCGGGGACGTCACTGGGGATGGGGCGGGGAGCGGCAGGTGGAGGAGGTGGTCTAGGGAAGGAAGGGGGGACCGGGAAGGGCCGGGGAGGGGCGGGAAGGGGCGGGACGGGAGGAGGACGGAAGAAGGGCGGGAGGGACGGGGAGGGAGGGGGGCAGACCTGGGGCGGAGGGGCGGGGCCGGGCGGAGGGGCGGGGTCGCGCTCGCCGCTCGCTTCCGGGGGCCTGGCGCGCGCCGTGTCTGGGTGCCGGGACCTCGCGGGTCCAGCTGCAGCGCGTCTGGCGCCCCAAATAACAGAGCGGCCGGGAGTTGGTACCAGGTTGTCAGAGACAGTTTACATAGGAAGCAGAATGTCACTGTTTCGTAAGGTGACCAGATCTTCCCGCTTTTGGCGGGACAAAGATCGGAAAGATTCTTTTCAAAAATCGGGACTTTTTTTTTTTAAAACGCCGCGGGACGCGGGAAAAGTTGTTGGAAATCTGGACTGTCCCGCCCAAAGCGGGAAGATCTGGTCACCTTATATAGGGGTTTCAGCGTCCATGACTATGCAGGAGGCTTTCCTATGTGTGCGTTGCCCCTGTTGGACTTGGTGGCCCGTTAACTGGGAAGAAGGATGCGTGGCTCAGAGGTGGGGCATGGACCTGTGAACCCGGAGGTCAGGGCACACGCCTGGGTTGCAGGCAGGCTAGATCCCCAGCGTGGGGCGTGCAGGAGGCAGCCAATCAAGGATTCTCATCATTGATAGTTCTCTCTCTGAAATCAATTAAAAAAACACATTTAAAAAAGAATGATGTGCGTGTAGAATCTTCCGCTGCTGCCTTGCATTATTTCTCATGACAGGGAGGAAGCAGACGGTGCTAATCCATCCTTCCATGCATAGGAGAGGGGCAGCTACAAAGCTCCCAAGAGATTCCCCCAGTCCCGCTCCGTCTGCAGAAACGGAATTCTTCATTCGGTTCGGGCATTGTGGCCCCAGGGCTGGCAACATCAAACTGACGGTACTCCCGCCGGAAAAGGCGCCTCGTGCAGGGGCACACCAGCAAAGCAATCCAGCGCAGCGCAGTGCCTGGGTGTGGGGTGTGCATCTGAACCAGGAGAAATGTGCAAGGAGAGGCAAGGTGGTAGGGCTTTCTTTAGAACTCCGTGCGGGTTGGTCACCGTGGCCGTGGTCGCACCCGACACGTGAAGGGCGCTGGAGACTCTCGGGGAGGTTCCATCCCGCGTGGAGTGGGACAGGGCGCGGAGCGCGCACGCGGTCCTCCCGGTCGCCAGGGCGGCGATGTGCGGGGCCACGGTCCCTCCGCGGGAGGCGCCGCTCTTGGCCGTGGCGCTTCCGGCGCTGCCAGGATCACTTCCGGCCGGACTCTCGGCGCCGCTGCCGCGGTTGTTTGGTCTCCCGCTGCCGGCTCTGCGGCGATGGAGCGCCCGGGGCCCAGCGAAGGTGGGTCCGGCGAGGCGGGCCGGGCGGGCCGGGCCGGGCCGGGCCCCGGGGGCGCCGCACTAACGAGGCCCCCTCTCTCTCCTCCTCTCGCCCCCGTGACAGGCTCCGAGGCGTCGGGACCGGACCCGCAGCTGGCGATCACCATGGGCTTCACGGGGTTCGGTGAGTGAGTGAGCGCCCGTCCCTGCGGGGTGTGCAGGGCCGCGGGCCGGCGAGGCCGGGCGGCACCCCCTCCGCGCCGCCCGGAGCCGGGCCCTGGGGCTTGCTCCTGCGCCTCGCGGTGCCGCCCTCTCCCTCGCTTTGCCTGTTGTCGCCCCTTTCCTGCCTCCGGCCGTCCGGGGAGCCAGGGAGGGAGAGGCTGCGGGTGAGCCGCGCGGAGGGGTGGAGGGAGTGTCTTAGTTGCCTCCGCGGCTGACAGCTCGCCCCTGCCTGTGCTCTGTGATGTGACGGCTCTCCTGGCTGCACTTGGGCTGTTAGCTGGTTATGATGGTTTTCGGTTCTTTTTTTTAAAAAATACGACTTTATTGATTCTAGAGACGAAGGGAGAGGGAGAGAGAAACATCAGCGACGAGAATCACCCATCCGCTGCCCCCTGCTCGCCCCCTCCTGCGGATGGAGCCCGCGTCCCGGCATGTGCCCTGACCGCACCCCGGCTGGACCGTTTTAACTTCTTGTTTTTAAAAAAAACTTATTTATTTGAGAGAGAGAGAAAGAGAGAGAGAAACACGTCGATTTATTGCTCTACTTACTTGTGCATCCGTTGATTGAATCTTATGGGCGCTGGCCGGGCAGGAACCTGCAACCTTGGCATGTCGGGGGGCAACGCGCTGCCAGCGGAGCGACCTGCCCGGGCCGCGTTCTCTCCGAGCCCAGCCTGTCATCACAGATCTTCCCTCCGGCTCTGCAGCGCCGAGGCTGGGCACGCCATAAGGGAAAAGGCCAAACAGAGATGTAGGCACCCATTGAGGATATCACTGTTAATAGAAATAAGCATACGTTGTTTTTTCACCCCATTTCTCTTGGGGCTTGGAGAGAACAAATGTCAGGCAAATGTGCCCAAACCTTTTTTAAAAAAACTATATTTTATTGTTTTTTTTACAGAGAAGAAGGGAAAGGGACAGAGAGTTAGAAACATCAATGAAAGAGAAACATCAATCAGCTGCTTCCTGCACAACCGCCACTGGGGATGTGCCCTCAACCAAGGTCCATGCCCTTGACCGGAATTGAACCCGGAACCTTTCAGTCCACAGGCTAACGCTCTATCCACTGAGCCAAACCTGTTTTGGCGTGCCCAGACATTTTGTTCATTCTTTTTTATAGTCACTTATTTTGGTAATGTATATAATTTGTTTAATTCTTCATATTGTGAGGATTTCCCCATATTGTAAAATGTTCTTCCAAAACATGATTTTTTAAAAAACACACATTTATTTATTTGCTTTAACTAAATTTTATTGGGGTGCCCTAGCTGGTGTGGCTCAGTGGATAGAGCGTCCGGCCTGTGGACTGAAGAATCCCAGGTTTGTTTCCAGTCAAGGGCACATGCCTGGGTTGTGGGCTCGATCCCCAGTAGGGGCCATGCATCTCTCATCATTGATGTTTTTCTCTCTCCCCCTTTCCTTCTCTGAAATCAATAAAAAAAACTTTAAAAAAATTTTTGGGGTTGACATTAGTCAACATGAACTAAAACATGATTTTTAATGGGTGAATAATAGTCTACTTAATAGAAGTGTCATAATTTGTGATATTTTAAACTTTTTCCTACATAGTTTCTAATTCTTTTATCAAGAATGCTAAATTGAACATTGTTGCAAATAACTATCTCCTTTTGTTAAAGGAATCTTGTGTGTATTTCCATTGGGTAGCTTTCTAGAGGGACTACTTTAAAAGAAATGTAAATATGAAAATGCAGCCAAAACATTGGGAGTATATCTTTTAACTCTTATTGATACATATTACCCCAGCGCTCTGCAGGTACATCAGCTTCAGTGTTCTATAAGAATGCTATTTTTACCATGTTCTTACGAACAGAGTAGCTATTATTTAAAAAAACATGATGAAAACAAATGTAAAATTGCTTCCTAGCTCATTCAGGGTATTGTCAGAATTAGGTCCTTTATGGTTTTAGGGCTGAGGCCCTGTTACCTTGCTGGCTGTAACATGTGAGTCTTTGCGCTTCTTAAAGTGCCTGCATTACTTGTGGTCTTCGCTCTTCATCTTCAAACCAACCACAGCGCCTTCAGTCCTTATCCTTTCCATCTCTCTGACCACATTCTGCCATGTTTGCTCTGCATCTTTGTTTGTAAGGGCCCCTGCGATGAGAGTGGGCCGGTGAAGATAATCTCTGTAGTTGGAAGTGCATAACTTTAATTACATCTGCGAAGGCCCCTTTGCCATGTGGTGTTACATATTCACAGGCTCCAGAGGTCAGGGTCTGCCCATTCTCCTTTCTGCCTACCGTATCAGTGTTGTAGCTTCAAGGGGTGGTGTCTAGATGAATTAGAGGAGGATGGGAAAGCTGACTGGTTAATGGCACTTAGTGATGAGATTGTCATTAAAATCCCCTGGGAAGTAACTCTTTCTTCCTTGATATTTTATGGTTGTCTTGTAACCATGCTTTAAATTAGAGCAAGTAGTGCTTGATCAATCAGTAAAAATTTTTGAATACCTAAAGCTTAGTGCAAAATCACAATCTGCCACTTACTCCTATTTTAGGGAAAAAAGCTCGTACATTTGATTTGGAGGCAATGTTTGAACAGACTCGAAGAACAGCTGTGGAAAGAAGTCGGAAAACACTGGGTAAGAAGTTCAGTTATCTGCTGTTTTGTTTTAAATACTGTGTCCACTTTACACAAGGATATTGACAGTTATAAGACTGAAAAAAAATTCAAAATTGTTAAAAGACCATATATACTGGTTCCTTGGGAAGCAGAGATTTATTTATCTATTTAATCTTTATTTTTGAAAGTATTACGTATATCGCTTTTTCCCCCCATATTGATCCCTTCCAGCCCGCCCCCAGTCCATGCCCCAGCCTTCCCCACCCTAATGTCTGTGTCCGTGGGTTATGCATATATGCATACAAGGGCTTTGGTTGAGCACCTCCCACCCACCCTCCTCAGTCTTCCCTCCAAGATTCCGCACTCTATTCAATGTGGAAGCAGAGGTTGAAAAAAACACATGGTAAAAGTTGTATCTAAATAGGATAAGAAGTCTGAGTGCTAAAGTCTTTAGAAGTGTGTGTTATGAACAAGGATTCTGAATTAATATATGAGATCAGAATAGCAATTTCTTTATTATATCTCCTTCCACCTC